CTCCTGTCGTCAGGTTTTTCTTCTCACGACGCTGATCTGTGTCGATCTCGCTGAGACTAAGGATCGACGTTGTGCAACTCATATGGCGAAGGCGTCGAGGGCATTGCTTCTGTGCGTTTCAACGAGACGGCGACAAAAATCAACGCTATGATCAGTGCGGAGGGCGAGGTGGTAGACTTCACGAGAATAGTGGATGTGGACTCTCCTGAGAATCGCGGCAATGTCGAGAAGTGGCTTGTTGAAGTGGAGAAAACCATGATAGATTCGCTCACGGATGTGGTCTCCCGCAGCAACAAGGATTATGCTTGCAAGCCTCGGACATCCTGGTGCATTGACTATCCTGGCCAAGTGGTTTTGGCAACGAACTGCATTTTCTGGACTAAGGAAGTGACAGAGGCGCTGAACGGCAAGCGTGTTGCAGACTATGAAAAGAAACTCAATCAGCAGTTGCTCGATATCGTACAGCTTGTGCGAGGAGATTTGTCAAAGTTGGCCAGAGTCACATTGGGGGCTATGGTCACCATTGATGTCCACGCTAGAGATGTCGTGAGTGATCTGGTGAAAAACAATGTGGAGTCCGCGGACGAGTTCGACTGGTTGAGTCAGCTCCGGTATTACTGGAAGGAGCCCAACAGCTTCAAGAGAATCGACACTGGGGAGATGAACACGAAGGAAGAATGCCAAGTGTCGATCGTGAACTCCACCCTGCTTTACGGCTTTGAGTATCTCGGCAACACTCCGAGACTAGTCATTACACCACTGACTGATCGCTGCTATAGAACGCTGATGGGAGCTTTTGCTTTGTATTATGGAGGAGCTCCAGAAGGACCTGCGGGCACCGGCAAGACCGAGTCTACCAAGGATCTCGCAAAGGCCTTGGCGATTCAGTGCGTGGTCTTCAACTGCTCTGATGGAATGGACTACATGCAGATGGCCAAATTCTTCAAAGGTGAGGAATTAGCTTCTGATGTCTCATCGTACTAGGCGCGGTAAGCAGGAGTGTTTTATTTCATGCAGGTTTGGCAAGCTCGGGTGCATGGTGCTGTTTTGACGAGTTCAACCGTATCAACTTGGAGGTGTTGTCGGTCATCGCCCAGCAGATTCAGTGTATTTCACTTGCGATCAAACAGAAGGCTAAGACCTTCATTTTCGAAGGCACCGAGATCAGGTTGGTTCCCACAATTCGTGACCGCTGCGCCACGAAATTGTTTCAGGCTGATCCCCTCATGCGCTGTGAACATCACCATGAATCCTGGCTATGCTGGCCGTTCTGAACTGCCGGACAACCTGAAGGCCCTCTTCCGTCCCTGCGCTATGATGGTTCCCAACTACGCGCTCATTGCTGAGATTACCCTCTACTCCTTTGGGTAGGTCTCATGGCGAGGAAACTGTTGTGACAAATCGTTCAACGTTGGGGTGACAACTGAGTCCCCATCAGAATACAGAGTTCATCGAGCCGGGCGTTCGTGTTGATTAACTTCTCTCTTCACGTGGGTGAATCCTGGATTACGAACCTTGGGGCCATTTTGAGATTGTCTCGGACCCGTCGGACAAACAAAAGCTTACGTGCACTGATCGGGGTGGGATGATCTTCGAAATTAGAAGTGAATCACCTTGCGATAACGCGTCTCCGAGAGAGAAGCGCGAGTGACCACATTAATTGATCGGCACTGTGGTTTCCTCTGACCGATCATGTACGATTTCTGTGTAGTTACGAAGACGCCCGACGGATCGGCGTGAAGGCCACCCAGGCTTTGAAGCTTTCCTCGGAGCAGTTGTCTGCCCAGGATCACTACGATTTTGGTATGCGTGGTTTGAAGTCCCTTCTGGTGGCCGCTGGTGCATTGAAAATGAAATACGGCGACCAGTTCCCTGAGGATGTCATCTCCTTGCGAGCGTTCACGGACGTGAACCTGCCGAAATTCACTAGTGCGGATATCCCCTTGTTCAAGGGCATTATCGGCGACTTGTTCCCTGGAGTGCACCTCCCTCCGAGTGACTATGGCCCGCTTATGGCTCAGGTGGGTAGACGTGTGATGGCGGATAGTTGAGAACTCCCAAGTTGTGATGTGAATAATTTTCGATTTGGGGCCTCAATTTTCACGAGCTTCTGTCGTACTCTGATGTGCTGTATAAAGCGTGCTGCTAGGCAGACGTGATTCTCGGCTCGCTACTTGATCGTCACGTCCGCTCGAACTGATTCGGATTCACTCGTTCACGAAAGTGGAAGTAGACTCTCGTTTTCCGAGTCAAGGATTGACATCGAGCGATCTTGGGTCATGAGGGAGAGTGCGTTGTTCGTCGTCTCAGGTGGAAGCTTGTGCTACTGCCAAAAAGCTCCAGCCCACCAGCCAGTTCACGAACAAAGTTATTCAGCTCTGGGAGACGGTCATGGTCCGGCATGGCCTCATGACGGTTGGTCTGCCGCCTTGCGGTGAGTACGGGTCGAATTCTGGCGAACGCGTGAATGTATCAGCAGCGCATTTTCGCGAGTTCAGTCTTTTATGGTGGATGCCCGTGTCCTCAGGTAAGACGATGGTGAAGGACGTTCTCGCGGACACTCTTGCGGCTGTCGCTGATGGTGGTGACATGTTCATGCCAGTCACCCAACACGTGATGAATCCCAAATCGATCACGCAAGGTCAGCTCTATGGTGAAGCTGATCTGAACACACAAGAGTGGACTGATGGTGTGCTGGCCATCGCAGTGAGGGCGGCGAGCAAAGGTCCCCCGAACATGCGGCAATGGGTGGTCCTGGACGGCCCAGTGGATGCCATTTGGATCGAAAATATGAACACTGTTCTTGACGACAACAAAAAATTATGTTTAAACTCTGGCGAAATCATCAAACTGTCGCCGACAACTACAATGATTTTCGAGGTTCGTGATCTGGCTGTTGCTTCCCCTGCAACAGTGTCACGATGCGGCATGGTATTCATGGAGCCCGACTCGGATCTAGGGTGGAAACCCATCGTCCTGTCGTGGCTAGATTATCAGATTCCTGAATTCATCCGCAAGGACCACCGTGATTTTATATGGAGTCTCTTCGAGCACAATTTTAACGTCTGTCTTGAATGCACGCATCGGGTTCGCACGCCAGTTGCTGTGATCGACAACTGGCTGGCGGACAGCGCTTGCCGGCTGATGGAATCTCTATTCGAGGACTCTGAAGAGAAGTATTGTCGGCCGACCCTTGCTGAAGATGATGAGAACTCGCAGACGTTCGCAGAACGGGAGCAGCTTATCTACGCGATATTCTTCTTCTCAATGCTCTGGACGTGTGGTGCCTGCACGGACCAGGAGGGCAGAGGCTTCGTCGAGTCCGTCATACGGGCAATGTTCGAGAACAAAAAGGAGTTCATCAAGAAACAAGAATTTGTCGCGGAGTGGTCAGCGACGGAACTTGTCAGCGGAGTGTCTCCGGCACCTCTACCGAGCAAGGGCCTTCTGCACGACTATTTCATTGACTCGACAGACAACGGAAAATGGAAGCCGTGGACAGAAAGGATCACCAATTTTGATATCCCGAAGGACGCGCAATTCCATGCCATCATCGTGCCGACTAGCGACACTGTGCGGAATCAATTCCTGATCAGGACCCTGATTGAAAAGGGCAAGCATGTGCTGATGTCTGGCGTGACGGGCACTGGGAAAACTGTCTCGATAGCAGGAATGCTTTTGAGTGGATTCGACAAGGAAAAGTATGCGACAATCTCGTTCGCCTTTTCGGCGCAGACCACCGCTAATCAAACACAGGATATTATTGACGGTAAATTGGACAAGCGACGGAAGGGTGTCTACGGCCCTCCACCAGACAAGAAAATGCTCGTCTTCATCGACGATGTGAACATGCCGGCTAAGGAGACTTATGGCGCTCAGCCACCAATAGAGATCCTCAGACAAGGTCTCACGATGAGTGGTTGGTACGATAGGAAGACCTGGGAATTCCGCCAGTTTGTGGACATGCAGTATCTGGCCGCTATGGGACCGCCAGGCGGAGGAAAGAACGATATCACGGATCGGTACTCGAGACAGTTCAACTTGATATTCGTCACGCCATTTGACGACGAGTCGCTTGCAAGGATCTTCACGACTATGGTTCAAAAATTCCTTGGCGTGATGCCGCGAGAAGTTGCTGGTCATGCGGCTACGGTAGTGGCCGCGACCATTGAGGTCTATAACACAATGTCTGCGGAGATGCTGCCCACTCCGGCTAAGTCTCATTACACATTCAACCTGAGAGATCTCAGTAAAGTTTTCCAAGGCATTTGTCAGTGTACGAGGGAAAGCCTGCCGAAGGTAACTGGGATGTTGTTCAGTAGTGATGAAAGGTAAAATTTCAGGTTGACGATTTGGCCAAGTGCTGGATGCACGAGTGCCAGAGAGTTTTCGAAGATCGTCTCGTGAACAGGCCCGATCGCAACTGGTTCTTCTCTCTGATGAAGCGGATGCTGGACCGCCACTTCAAGAAGCAATACGACCAAATCGTCAAACAGGAGCCTATAGTATTCGCGAGTTTCGTGGACCCGAAATCGACGAGCTATATGGAAGTCCAAGACCATCAGAAATTACAGGATAAGATGAACTCATGTTTGGACGATTTCAACGCGGTGTCGAAGATCCGGATGGACTTGGTCCTATTCACGGCCTTCATACAACATATTTGCCGTGTCGTTCGTGTAAGAAAATCGTCGCTCGCCACGAAATTGACTTCCTGAAACCCTTCATTATTCTTCCCCTGAACAACTGTCTGTTTCGTACAGCTCCGAAAGTACACCCGCGTCATCTCAGGTTCTGAAGTTGCCACTCGGGAATGCTCTGTGTGTCGGTGTTGGCGGTAGCGGCCGGAAGAGCACAGCGACCTTGGCAGCGTTCGTCGCCGACTTCAATCTATTCCAAGTGCAAATATCAAAGTCCTACGGTATGACCGAGTGGCGTGATGACATGAGGAAGCTGCTCATGTCCGCGGGCTGCGACGACAAGAATATGGTTTTCCTCTTCCCTGACACGCAAATTGCCAATGAGAACTTCCTAGAGGACGTCAGCAGCATGTTGAACACCGGTGAGGTACCCAACTTGTATGCCAATGAAGATCGCATGGACATTCTCGAGAAGTGCAGCAAGATGGCTAGCGCCGACGGCAAGACTGGGCCGAACGAAGTCTTCGCTTGGTGAGGGAGCAGTGGTCTGCGATCGTATGACGATTGTTTCTGCCGTTTGCTTTCCGTCAACAGCTCAAAAGGCGTCTTCTAGTTGCAGGAATTACCAGAATCCATCTTTGTTTGCCGAAATATTTTTGGTTTATTTCGAGTGTACAGGTACGTCGAAAACTGTCGTAAGAATCTCCATATTGTCCTGGCTATGAGTCCCATTGGTGATAAGTTCCGCAAGCGTTTGCGGATGTTCCCGAGTCTAGTCAACTGCTGTACGATCGACTGGTAAGTCTTCATGGGAAGATTGGAATCATGACAGATCGACTGATTTTATGCGGATTGGCTTTCGCTCAGGTTCATGGAGTGGCCGCCGGATGCCCTCACAGCTGTGGCGATGCAGTTCTTGAAGACGCAAGAGATGCCTGAGAAAGTCTTGAATGGCGTCGTGAAGATCATGGTTGACATGCAGACATCTGTCTCGAACCTCACTGAGCGCTTCCTTTCGGAGCTGCGCCGGTAGGTTGTTATATCCTTTTCGCTAGCGGGCAGTCTAACATTGTACGGTGGGAATTTTTCCCTTCCTTATGGATTTCACGGAGCTCGTCATGGATAGTAGTGTTGTAGAGGCCCAGCCTTGGGCAACCCTTCATTTATCATCCGATCGTAAAGCATGCATATCATTTTGTCGGACTTCCACCCGTCGGAATTCAACATGAGTGTTTCTCGTCGAATCGATGTCGGAAGAGTAAGTGGTATTCGTCTTCTTCTTGTTGTTTAGACACTACTACGTTACGCCCACCTCTTACTTGGAACTCATCAACTCCTTCATACAGATGCTCAAGCAGCAGCGTCATGTCGTCTCCCAAGCGAAATGGCGCTACGACGTTGGTCTGGAGAAGCTAGCCGACACTGCCAGCCAGGTGGCGACGATGCAGAAGGAGCTCGAAGACCTACAGCCGAATCTTGAGAAGGCCGCTAAGGAGACGAGCGAAATGATGATTCTCGTCGAGAAGCAACAGGGCGAAGCCGCGGAGAAGCAGAAACTCGTCGATGCTGAGGCGGCAGCTGCGAACGAGCAGGCCAGAGCCGCAGAGGAAATCGCGGCGGACTGCCAGAAGGACTTGGCCGCGGCGATGCCCGCGTTAGAGGCTGCTGTGGATGCCTTGAGCAAGCTGAGTAAAGGAGATATCACTGAGGTGAAGGCGATGAAGACCCCGCCAGGTGAGACACATTTTGGCAGCACGCGAGTGATGTCTTCGTTGTGGAGAGCCAACAGCTTCTCATGCGAGAATCGGAACCACGGTGCGCACATGGTTTCATTCAGGCGGAGTTGTACTGGTGGCTCAAGCCCTGTGCTACTTCTTCGGAGTTAAGCCTAACAAAGTACCGGCCCCTGATGGTAGAGGAAAGGTGGAAGACTTCTGGGAGCCGGCCAAGAAGGAGCTGCTTGGTGATCCAAGGTTGCTCGATAGGCTCATCAACTTCGACAAGGACAATATTTCTGAGGAGGCCATGAAGAAGGTCAGGGAACAAGCACCACGTATGGACTAATCTCGTGGTATCATTTCAGGTCAAACCGTTATATGATGATCCCAACTTCGAGCCTGAGGTGATCAAGAAGGCCTCTATTGCAGCGATGGGAATTTGCAAATGGGCCCGAGCGATGGTCGTGTATGATAAAGTAGCCAAGGAAGTGGGGCCGAAGAGGGCGGCGCTGGCGGAGGCGGAGGGGAAGGCGGCAGCGGCCAAGGCGAAGCTGGCTGAAAAAGAAGCGGAGTTGGCCGAGGTCATCGCACTTGTGGACAAGTTGGTATCAGACTTGAATAATGCGAAGGAGTATATGGAGGAACTGCAGAAGCAGAGAGATGATTGTGCCGCCAAGCTCGTCAGGTAACGTAGCCGAATAGTCTTGGTGATGGTATAAGAAAATCTGAATGGGTGCTGCGACTTTTTGCTGAGTATTAGTCGCCGTTGGTCGTTATGTATCATCCTGGATTTCTATGAGACACTATATTCATCCGCAGATTGCGAAGCTCAGAGTCAGCTGCTGATTGTTCCTGATTTTAGAGCCGAGAAACTTATCACTGGTCTCGGTGGGGAGAAATCGAGGTGGACGGCGGCTTCTAATCGCCTTGGCACGGACTACAATAACTTGTCCGGAGACATCCTCATTGCCAGTGGCATTATAGCGTATCTCGGTAAGGTGTCTAAGCCTGGGATCTTCTGCTTCTCACGGTCTTGCTTAGGCGTGTTCACGGCTTCATATCGATCGGACGTGATGGTGCAATGGTTGGGAAAGCTGCAAGAGCTCAAGATTCCTGCAAGTCCTCAGTTCAACTTACAGAACTGCATCGGAGATGCTGTGAAGATCCGGCAGTGGTGAGTAACTCGCGGGTAGAATTTGTTGGCGCTGAGATGGGAATAATTTCGAACGGAAGATTGAGATCGAGTCGATTCCGTTCTTCGTGGTCGTCCCTACTAGGGACTCCCTAGCACCAAGGGTGGGTTGCATGGCGATCTAGCCGGGCACATACAAGCAATGGAGAATTTGTCCCTTCAGGGTGATCGATAAGTTGCCGAACGACGGTCTGTCGATTGACAATGCCATCATAATGAGTAACTCGAGGAGATGGCCGCTGATGATCGACCCTCAACAACAGGCGAACAAGTGGATCAAAAACATGGAGAAAAACCTGCAGGTAGGATACCGCGAATTTGGTTGTACTCTGATCGATTCACCCAGGTTTTGAGGCTGACGAAAAACTACGCTAGAGAGCTCGAGAATGCGATACAGTTCGGGAATCCAGTGTTAATTGAAAACATTGCTGAGTCATTGGACCCTATGTTGGATCCTCTACTCCAGAAGGCTACGTTTAAACAGGTGAGCCCTCATCAGGCCACGGCGTAATGGAGTCGTTTATCGTCAGGGCAACCTGGAGATGATTCGGCTCGGCGACAGTACAATAGAATGGTCGAAGGACTTCCGTCTTTATTTCACCACAAAGCTGCCGAATCCCCATTACGCCCCCGAGATATGTGTCTCGGTTACTATCCTCAATTTCATGGCGACAGTGGACGGCCTTCAGGACCAAATGCTTGGTGAGAACAACAGCTCTTCACAGCATGTGTATTCGGCGATGGAACGTTTACGCTAGTGATCGTAGTGTGCCGACCGAGAGTGACTTCACGATGTGTAAGGTATCGTGGTTGCCAAGGAAGAGCCGGAGATCGAGGCCAAGCGCGTGAACCTTGTCGTGGAGAGCGCTCAGTCTAAGGCGCAGTTGAAAGAGATTGAAGACCGCATTTTGGCGTTGCTCTCCAGCGCTACTGGTACGTGAACGTGTGGAAGATCCGGTCTGTAGCGTTTTGTTGTAGGCAATATCTTGGACGACGAGGAGCTCATTGAGACGCTTTCTAACTCGAAGATTGCCAGTCAGAAGATTGAGGAACAGGTTCAACAGCAAGAGAGGACTGCAGCGCAGATCCAAGAGACTAGACAAGCATATAGGCCCTTGGCACTAAGGTGAGGCTCGTGCCCTCAGTCAAGCACAGTATCAACCATGGGCTGTTCATCCCGAACGGCATTCGATCAGTGGTGGGGTAAAATCGCGGGTCGCTGGCCGGCATTTGCTGGTGTCCATATCTCCGTATACGCGATGGAATTTCTCGCTTCAACAGCACACCCCTAGCCGTCTCAGGTCTGCCTCGTTGTTCTTCGTGGTCTCTGACCTCTGCATCGTCGACCCTATGTATCAATACTCCCTCGACTGGTTCATCATGATATTCATAATGTCCATCGACCAGGCAGAGGCTGCCAACTCGCCAGCGGATCGGATGGCCAATTTGGCGAGGTACGCCGAATGCCTTTATGGATGGCTTTCGCTCATCATAACTTGACGAACGTTCGTGACATCTTCGTTTTCGTTTCAGCTCTACTATTCGGCTGTTATATGTCATGGTTTGCCGATCCCTGTTCGAAGCACATAGGCTGCTATATTCAATGCAGCTCGCATTCAAGATGCAGGAGGTGGACAAGGAGCTCAACTTCAAGCAGATGCGTCTCTTCCTCACTGGTGGTGGCGGTGGTGGCGCACCTTCAGAGGAAAAGCCCCCAAATACGGCCTGGCTTACCGGTATGAATAGCCGTGCTGATATGGGCAATGAATCATTCAGATATTTCTTGGGGAAGAGTGCTAGAGTTGGCTAAGCTGGGAGAGACTTTTGATGGCTTCCAGGAGGCCTTCAAGTCTCAAGTTGACGGCTGGAAGGTAAGGGCTATCACGCCGTCATTAACTGTCACTAAGCATCTACGCGTCAGGCGATATTTGACTCGGACAACCCCCGCGATGTTGAATGGCCCAACAGCTTCGACAAGAAATGCACTCCCTTGGAAAAGGCACTGGTGCTGTTGGCAATCCGAGCCGACGCGTTGGTGCCAGCTATACAAGAAATTGTTGAGAAGAAGCTCGGTAAGGCACCGCAATGCGTGCTCGGGAGAATGTGAGTATCTCATGGCTCAGGCAATTTCTTCCTGGAACCACCGCCGTTTGATCTTGAGGCATGTTACAATGACTCGCGGCCTTCGATCCCGCTCGTGTTCGTTTTGTCGAGCGGAAGTGACCCTATGGCTGACATCATCAAGTTGGCAGAGGGAAAGGATATGCTGGCTAACATCTCCGCGATCAGTTTGGGCCAAGGACAGGGTAAGATAGGGCACCGGGTAGTCCGGGCTGAGAACATGGGAATTCATTATCTCACTGTGCATGGTCCGGCTCCAGTTTATGGTATGTTCAATCAGGTCCTAAGGCAATGGCAGCTCTCGAAGAAGGGACGAAGCTCGGCAAATGGGTCCTGCTGCAGAACTGCCATTTGGCAGTCAGCTGGATGCCTGTGCTGGAGAAGGCAAGACTGAAGTCGTGTTATTCGGTCAACCATTTCATCCTGGGATAACAGGTCGTTGAAGACTTCCGGGAAGATGAGATTAACCCAGAATTCCGTCTGTGGCTGACTGCCATGCCGAGTCCCGCCTTCCCGATATCGGTTCTGCAGAACGGCATCAAGATGACACTGGAGCCTCCCAAGGGTCTGAAGAACAGTCTGGTGCGAGCTTACATGGGTAGCATTACGCCCTCGCTCCGATCAGTGAGAATGTGTTTGTTGATAGGTATGGACGAGGAGTGGTTCGAGAGTTGCAGCAAGCCGCATGCCTTCAAAAAGCTCCTCTTTGGTCTTTGTTTCTTCCACGCTGTCATTCTGGAGCGAAGGCAATTTGGTCCACTGGGATGGAATATTCCTTACCAATTTTCCGAGCCTGATCGCGACATCTCCCGTCAGCAGCTCAAAAACTTCCTGGATGAGTTTGAAGGAATCCCATGGAAGGCTCTGAGCTATATGGTTGCCGAGGCAAACTACGGCGGCAGAGTTACGGATGCTCAGGACCGTAGAGCAATCGTCCATATTTTGACGGATTATTATACTGAAAGAATTCTCAAAGACGAGTATAAATTCAGCATAAGCGGCACTTACTTTGCTCCCAAGGAAGGAACGTTGTCCTCCTATATGGAGTACATACGAGGGCTCCCGATCAACCAGACCCCCGAGGTCTTCTGGTTACACAATAACGCCAATCTTACAGCGGCTATTAATGAAGGCATGGAGATTCTAAGAACGGCGGTAATGCTGATGCCGAAGACGGGTGGTGGTGACGCTGAGGAGGGCGAGAAGGAGAAAACTCCCGAGGAGCTTTATGGAGAAAAGGCCGCCGAGATAGTCGCGTCCCTCCCTAAAAACTTCGACGTGGACGCGGTTCAGAGGACGTATCCAGTGCGCTATGATCAGTGTTTAAACACTGTTCTGGTGCAGGAGCTTTTGAAATGCAATAAGTTACTCGACCGGTTGAGAGATACGCTGGTGAACTTGCAGAAAGCCGTCAAGGGTTTGGTCGTTTTCAGCCCAGACCTGGAAGAGGTGGCTGAGGGTCTCCTGAGTAACAAAGTCCCTTCGGTGTGGGCTAAGGTGTCCTACCCCAGCCTGAAGCCACTAGGCAGCTACGTTGCAGACTTCCTCCAACGTCTGCAGTTCTTCGACGGCTGGGTCGAATCTGACGCCCCATCAGTTTTCTGGTTCTCGGGCTTCTTCTTCCAGCAAGCATTCTTGACCGGAGTGTTGCAGAACTTCGCCCGAAAAGATAAGATAGCTATCGACCGCTGTATCTGGAATATGGAGGTCCTCAAGGCAGACAATACGTCGCCAGGCTTACCAGAAAAAGGCTGTATTATCCGAGGCTTATTCATGGATGGCGCAAGGTGAGAGCAGTTGATCTCGATGCGCGTTGCAGTGTGGCGACCCTTTCAGATGGGATGACGAAAAGATGGTTATCGCCGACTCGTTCCCCAAGGTGTTATTCTCCGAAGTCCCATACATTTGGCTCAAGCCGGTCGAAATGGATAGAGATGAGACGAAATACGGGAGGATCTACACCTGCCCAGTGTATAAGACGAGCGAAAGAAGAGGTCAGGGGGATTTGAATACGATGGCAGCGAATGCATCTTTCGTGTGGTTTTGAATAATGCACATACTTGACTGCTCAGGTACACTTTCAACGTCTGGACATTCAACGAACCATGTGATGATGATTTTCCTACCAATCGCCGCGGAACATGACGAAACGTTCTGGGTCAAGCGTGGTGTAGCCATGTTGACTCAAATTGATGATTAGTGTGTTCATGGAGCAAGGAAAGTCTTCAAAGGTGTTGAACTACGTATCCAAGTATTGTGTTTTCAGTCGCTCATATTTTGAACGCCGAATTAGTATTAAGGTGTTCTTTCCTTACCACACATAAATATATGTGTTCACTGTATGAGGCAATGAACCGTTGTCACTTTTATGAATATCGTTATCGTTTACAAACTCAACATCTTCGTACAGATGTTGACGGCACGTTCTGAGAACGTGACAGTCATACGACTTTCGTATGTCATAGACTTAAAGGTAGAATGTCGATTAACGGGTCTAACGGGCGTGTCAGAACTCCCAAGGCGATCGGAAATGCACTGGAAGCGTCCGCGTACAATTGTGGACATGCACACGCATATTGAAAACTCGCCTCGTTTCGCTCAAAAGCCACGAGTATTGCACTTGATCCAGAGCGGATGTCTTCAAGGTAGTAGGTATGCATATGGGGATCACAGAAATAAGCGACAGACCCGGCATCCGCGGCACTCGGATGAAACCTAACTGAGACACTGGTTACCTCAGGGACAAATCGACGTACGCTCTTACATGGTGATACACTACTCGCCGATACACTACTTACTTTCCCATGGTGAAACCCCTAAGATTTTGAACGAGTTAGATGATTACGATCTGGCGTTGAATTGATCAAGAACAATTTTACGGGAAGGAATAAGTCGTTCAGGAAGTTGTCACTCCAACGCAAGGCGCCCTGGAGAAGGACTTGAGTACGGCAATGTGTCACGAAGTACAGGTAAAGACGAACGTCGTATATAACTTGAATACTTGCTCTTCTTCGGGTGATAGAACCACGTCCGAATGAGTCCATCGAAACTTCTTTACGATCTCGCTTTTCGTTTCATAGTGCTCGAGGAAGGCGCCGAAGTTTGCATGCAGCACACACTTGAAATTGGCTGCACGAGCTACCGCATCAAAGGCCTTGAAGGGGACTAAGTACTCAGCCTGATCATCGATGCTTTGCATCAGCCAGAACTGGTAGACGACTCCCCACTCGGTTGAGCCCTTCTTGTGATCAATCGCCGTACCCTCCTCGTTACCCTCTACAGGGTTGGAGGGAGCCAACTTAAGGAGCTGATCCTTCTCAAAAGTCACACTGTAAACTTCATTGCCGAACTTGGAGGAGCCGTCCGAGGAAAGACTCGCCCGCTTGAGTCTGCTGACGATGGTCTCGCTACAGGGAATCGTGCCGATGAAATTTCCACCAGGCTTGATCACAGTTGCGATGCGGCTAAGGAACTGTTGGGCTGCGTCTCGAGTCTTCATGAGGTAGTGCATGGCCAACTGCATCGACACTGTGTCGAAAACTCGATGGTCATCTCCCGAGCTCGCGCCCTCCCGTCTGACAATTTCCAAAATCTAAAAGGAAGTAATAAGCACACCTGGGGCCGCACGTATATTCACCTTGTCAAACGTGGCCCCGTCCTCTAAGTTGCCCTGCATGAACACGGCACGATACTTGAGCCTCTGTTCACTCTCCGCGTACCGCCGCCTGGCCTCCTCGATAGCCTCTGCTGAGATGTCAACACCGACGTACAACCTGACGCGGGGAAAATGAGCAATCGTGCCCGGTTGACGGCACAACGGGAAAATGTATCAACTCACCGGGGCTTGCAAGCGCTGTATTTCCAAAGATCCTGACCGTGTCCACAGGCCAAGTCTAGTACGACCGGCCCATGCGCGGGAACGAACTTATCGATGAGGACTCGCTTGACTAGATTATTGTACTTCCGCAGGGCACCAACTTCTGATTCGCCCTGTGATATCTGATTCCTCGTCTTGCGATCGTAGTGGTCCTCGACGTTGTAGCTCGCCGCTGCCCCAGTAGAAGTGAAGAGGTTCTCATAGCACAGTGGTGGCGGTGGCATAGTGTCAGCCATCGCTGCTAGAGACTCTGCATTCCTAAGCAGGTCTCGGACCGCTACACTTAGCCCATGAGTATGCTTTCCAATCATTCTAGTATACTGATTCCGAAGCAGCATAGGATTGACATCAACCCGTAATGCTTGGTTTTGGACAACCACTCGCCACCACAAGTCGGGTCCCTTGTTGAAGCGAAGGACGGTGCAAGCGCCTCCTTTGCCAGAATAGTTCTCCTGGAGTACACAGATGTCAACACGTAGATGAACCGAGCTCTCTGGACGGTATAGCAAATATCTCTCGATGACCTCTTCGGCACCTGTGGGGGCGGAATTGGCTTCCAAGACATCCACGCTAGTCCACCCGGTCTCATGGGCCTTCAGGAACTCGAGGGCTTTCAGTGGGTCATGAAGAGCGTCCTCAGTAGTGTTGAAACTCCCCGCCGGATCCATGAAGCACCAACCGCTCGCCCGACTGATAGGAAGGCCGATGGGCTCTCCGGTGGTTTTGTCCGTCAGTGTCACCAGAGAAGCTGCTAATCGCACCTCCTCCTTGGGCCGGGACGCGAGCGCTTTGACCAGGCCTGCCTCAACCCGACGGAAAATGAGGGAATATGAAGAGTCCGACTGCTCAGTGGGGGCGTACATGCGTAGTTGCCGCGGTATACCATCTTTGGGCGGCTGCATGGCTGGCGCTTGGCCTGTCATAAGATGGTCGAACGAAGGTTTCAACCTGCCGAAGATGAGCACAGCATGGAAGCGGAGAACACGACAGAGCGACTTGATAGGAAGGACCATGTCACAGCCATTTGTACAAATTGTAGTCTTCGAAACTGAAGGGAACACGCCACTGAGGCGGCAGGTGCTTCGGAATGAGAGGCCGCCTGAATGGAATGGATGCAGTCCCGACACTTACTATGTCTTCTTACATCTGCCTAGGGGGCACTTGTGGTACGTGGAGATGGTCCGAATGAATGCTAAGGCTAGTGCTTAGAGCTCGACCATCCATATAATGACCATTTACGAACAGTTTATAACTGCAGGCAGAGCGTCAACATCGACGATTCATAGAGACTCCCGGCAAACGGGCCTACTCCTCCTCCCATCCTGGCTTGGTGCAGATCGACCGCATGAGGGGGCGTCTACCACCACTGGGCCGCTTGTTTCCAGCCAAGACTCTGCTGCCATTGAGGGTGTACTTGGCATCAAGGTAGACCTTGCCATCGCATTCTCCTTGAATCCCTTTAAGAACGAGGTGGACATCTTTCATGGGGTGCTTGAACAGGAGGCCTGGGTGAGCGTATCGATATAGATCACGCTGTAGCTCTGGGCCGCAAGTTAGTCGGTGCGCATACGACCCAGTGTCAACATCGGTGGCTGCCAAGCCATGACCTAACAGACCGAGCGATCGATCCCACCAGAGCTGACCATGTACCGATATGATAGGAGTAGAGCTGAGGGACCGAGGGGACCACAAAAGACGTTGCCGTTGGGTCATGCAAAACCGGAGCGGCCATGGACATACATTGGAAAAGCCGCAGTGATGGATGCGAAGATAGATGCAAACGACGGGAACACAATACTAAGGCCGAGTGAAACAAGTATATGCAGAGTAACAGTTCTCATAAGGTATCAACACACATCAGGACTCCACCGAAAGTTCGACAGGATGGTCCAGACCCGCCCCGCCGAACCGCCCGAGGCCTGACGAGCTATCAGCGGATCCTGAGCGTCCCCTTGGCATCCTCGGCGAAGCTGCCTCTCCAAGACACATGCTGTCAGGTGCAACCCCGGAATAGCTGGAAGAAGCAACATGAACAAAAGAGCGTATGCATCCCGCCTACATCCATTCGATGAAAGGATGATGAAATTCATAAGGATAAGCTGGTAGCAATGGCGCGACGTGTTGGAGGATGTAGATGAAATTCTGAGAGTAAACTGGACACGGAGGAGATCACAATCAGCACACCTCGAGTGTTGGCCAGAAAAAAATGTACTCCCCCAAGAGATCTCCGCTGACGAGGTTGATACTGTCCATCCCGAAAATCGCGGCCGCCGACACTTCGCAGCAATCTAAAGACAGCGAATATCGGGGAGTCATGGTCATCATTGCTCTTACTTCCATCCTCACCACATGGTTGGATGACCATGCCACATGGATTCAGATTTGCACTACGACAGTCCAGTGTGCTGGAGAACAAATAAGTCTGCCCTCCCGCGCCAGTTCGGTCCATACCAGGTGAAATCGGGGTTACTGGCAGTGTGACAGAAGGGGAAGGGCCGGTGGACAATGGCACTGAGACCGCAACAGATCGATGGCCGTTCAAGTGCGCACTTCTCCGAGTCCGAGAACTCGGAAGCGATAACACTCCGAGTTCAGAGAAAAAATTCTGTTCGAGTGAGAGTTTCATTGCTCAGTAAGATTCGGAACTCGGAATTCAGAGAGATCGAGGAGTTGAACGGGCTCCAGGGGTAGTGGGACCATTCACTTTGTGCCGAGCACGAAGTAGATATGAAACGGCTGATGCAGCAGGCTTACCGTGACCACGCCACACCCCAGTCGGCACTCCTGGTCCTCGACTGACCAGTTCGTCACCGAGGTCGACACTAGTGTACGCTATTTGGTAGCCGCCACCATCCTCAGCCGGCAGCTTCTTAAAAGCCCGCAAGAGTTGCATCTTCACAAAACCAGGTGCGCAGTTAGGCGCGTTGAGCACGACGTCCAAGAGATCGGTCAAGAGGCATGTCCCTGGATATGTAAATGATGCTAATCTATGATGAAATCGAGTGTGACCTGTTCCTTCTTGCACTGAGTTGCCTCGTCCAGACCCCGCCGCTGGCGACCCTACGGAAGCAGCCATGGTCATACTCCGGGGACTCGCTGCCGATTCGCCTGGCAACATATCTAAAAACGACTATCTAAAGTCACGGATGACCCACACTAGCCCTGAATGTGTCTACCGTGCCGTCTCGATGGTAGCGACAAGAGCATGACGTTGTGCAGGAGAGGATTGTAGTGAGTGTAAGAGAACTCCAGGAGCTTCTCCCGAACCTTGAGGTCACTCCTAGAGCTTTCCGAGTCGCCCTGTATGCAGCCTACCAGTTTGGGCGTCGTCCCCTCGGTGTCAAGTTCGAGTACGTTCTCAATGAAAGCCTTGTGGTCGTACATGAGGGCGCCGACATATCTGATACCAGGTGAGTAGCGACAAGCATCGCGAGTGCGAGTGTTACTCTGGATGGAACGGCAAATGAAGCAACCTGGCCCTAGCCATATGCTCAGGAGGGGTAGTAGCCAACCTATGGTAGTCGACGCGAACCTGCGAATAATCCTGGATGGCATCATCCTGAGGTAGAGCCCTACATTGCAAGGTTGTCTGAGCGTACCACCGAATTCCGCAGGCGGCGTAACTCGTTGCCAGCGATGCTGATCAAAACTTGAATCCGAGTCGTTGTCGCTCTCGGTGGTGGGGGGAAGCGTCGAAGAGTCGTAGTAGTTTACGGAGCCTATCTTGGTGTTGAGTAACGCCGCAGGGCTCCTAACAGTGCACCCACCATCAGCACTGCCATTCCTCTGGTCATCGTCTATATCATCATCGTAAGTAATCGTCGATACGCAAGTCGAGACCTTGAGAAGAGCGTCCTGTGCAATCTTGCGGACGTCCAAGCCGCCTCTACTCGGGCCTAAGCTGAGAGAAGTACAGCTAGCGCGGCTGGTATCAGCGAGTTCACCGCCAACTTGTGTCCCTCGTCGAATGCTTTGCCGACCGCCCAGCGAGTTCTGACGTCCTGAAGCGAGCCGTGATGGATCTGGCCGGAAGACTCGCTGCTGGTCTCTTACCATGGACAGAAGACTTCATAATCCTCGGTGCATGAGTCCGTCGCTGAACCTGCGAGTATACCTTTGAACTGCTCGGCAAGCCACCTTGTGCTCACTAACACGCCAGGCGGGCCTCCGATCATCCCAGAGATAGCCGGCCCACCGCCGAGAATTTTGAGCCATGTCGAATACCTAGTCGAAACCGAATACATGTGAAACCGACGGCTTCATACATACTCCGCAACAGCCCATTCGTCACCATTAAAGATATCGAGCAATGGGTCTCTGGAAGGACTAATCGTCCTTGTGATTTGAAACGCATCCAAACGACTAGACTGACCTGAATAGAACTGCGAATCAAATTTGACAAAGGCAATGTAGCCACCTCTGTTCAAGCGAATATGCTTGTCCAGATGCATGCCTTGAATGATGAACAGTGGGGAGGCTTTGAAAACATGAGTGTATATACCGGCGTCAGCGTTGTACTCGAAGGAAAGCAGTTTCCGCAGAAACCCGAGGGCGGCGCATGCGGACACCGGAGGATCCTCCGAGAAATTTCCAATCTGAAAATGTGCAAGTTCCAGGTCGACCATACTCAACTGTTCCGGATCACTTCTGGCAGGAGACCAACGGGCCGCTCGCTGTCACCGATGCGTGGGTGAGGATTCTCGTTGTAGACATATGACCGACCGGTAGGGTCGTACCCCACGAAAAGGAGCTGAATGGAGAGCTCTCGAAATTGAGGTTTGTTTTGCATGAACCAACATTCGAAATCACGAATGGCCTGTACCTTGTCATGAACAACAATCGCGAATAGGGAGCACAATTTCCGCTTGATATCTACTTTATCATTGCCAACGGAATCGTCGTCGACGCCATCCCCGAGAGAACTTGTTTCATCTGCCGTCTCATCTAGCTCGGGAACTTGCGCTAGCTGATACAAGTTTCACGCGTGTGCACGGGAAAGCACGCTCAGACGGTAGCACGTACCTTCCCTACGAAGGCTTCCAACTTGGCCCTTGCTGTTTCGTCGGGCGTCATCTTGATTCGGCTTTCGCTGCGAGTGCCGGAGGGTGCGGGTAGTGAACTGATTGGCTGCAAGGAGTTGTCGACGCTGTAAGGACCATGCAACTGCTCCGTGAACGATTGAGCTGAGAAAAACGGCCGTCCGGAAGCGACACATGGCAGACACATGTCTCCTACCACTCACTTCGCTGGGTGGAACCCGCCCTGACATCGGAACAGAGGGATTGCAAAGGCCCGGGCGAGCAGTGATGGGCACTTCCAGAAATTCACACACCTGTCATGATGGAACTCTTGGGGGCAGCTGATTGTTTAGAGTCTCACCACATTCTGCATGCTAGGCGTCATGGCCACCAGAGAGGGCAAGAGGCTGTCCAAGTAGATCTGAAGGCCCTCCCGGCGCTTGGCGACGAACTCAGCGTCGAGGCGAGGAACTGGACGAGACTACAACAGAACCGCTGAGATCGGCCACTCACCGAGCAACGTCTTCGGTGGTAGTTCTGGTAGATGCACCACATCCCGTACGGCCTCTGAGGCCGAGACGAGTAATCTGAGAATTCCAAACTCGCATAAGTTGAAACCAGAAAATTCCGCAACAAGAGTTCAACTGGAGACGCAGATGGCAGCTCCGTGAGATGGGTAGAGCGAAGTCACAAACACCATAGTCAAGGGGCTACGGAATCGACTTGCAAAAAGTCGGGAAACCGGCACAACAATGAGCACGAACGAGGAACCGCCAGTGCACTAGTGTGGGACCTGTAGAGTTTATGATCGGTCTCGTTGAAAGCGCTATAGCGACGATACACCGTCCACGTGTCACCAGCACCGGATCGACCACCAAAAATATGCAGCTTCACCGTGTACCTATGCGCGCCCAAGTTCAGTAATTGAGCGCATTGTGAAATACCACGCGTCCCTCACATCGTGTATTGTCTCCCAAAGGTTGGTGTGACACTGTCTGCTGACACTATAGTTGCGCGAAGTTGAAGAACCATCGTGTTAAGCGTTCATATCAATTTACGATTGAAGCAGACAAAGAGCAGCAGCAGGAGCAGCTGGTCGGAAATACAATAGAGCAAAACGGTTTTCCCAAAAAACCTACACTCTCAATGTGCGCATAGAACAACTGCTCGAACGCAAGACCGGTCAAGTCAAAGAAAATACGCGGATATGGCCCTCCAGGGCGCAGCTTGCCTCAGCGGCGAGTTGAACTTCGATGTACCTGAGCCTCGGCGATCACCAAGAGCTCATGCCTTGAGCAGCATAACGGACCGAATTCCTGCTGGAACTCCTCCTTCGTCTGTCACTCTTTCTACGGTCACCGCTGCGGGACCTGTGATCTCGTCTGCTCGTACTGGGAGGTGATTGTCTGCGATCTAACAACAAGTAGCAGGAGTCACAGCGGAGCGGTGAGCGCTACCCACAACCAGCAGAGTCCGTCAAAAACGCCGGGTGGAAGAGCATTTAAGCGGTCGAACTAGGAAGCAGTTCATTGCAACAGCATGCGAGAGAGGCCGAGACCAAATGTCGACGACCGAATACGCGCAGTTAGCACCAGATGCGACATCGCGTCATGTTAACTATATAATATACACCCCCTCACATAATCTTAGCAAAAGTTGTGCGCGACCCAAAAAGTAAGTTTTACTCGTCCTCGTATTTAACACTCATATTTCGGTACTGGACCCCTAGGCATGCTAGTTATACGATGCATGTACGTAATTTCTGAGACACTATTCGTCGGGCAACATAGCACAGTAAATCACATCACGAATAATGCATTACTTCACGATGAGAGGGGACCATGACCGCTCCAAGAACAATGCGTCCACCTTTTCGTACTCGCTCACTCAACGGACCGTCCTCCAACCCCTACCTTTATCTCTCCTATGACTCCTAGACCTGGAACGATCACGCTGTCTAGGGCGTGCGCTAGGGGAGCTACTGCCGTGCCCCTGCTGTTGCTCCATCTTCAGGCCTCTATGCTGATGCCTCATCCCTGAACTTTCTCTCTCCCTCCTATTTTCGCGCTCCTCCTCCTCCCTAGAGCCACGGCGAGCATCTGAGGGTGCATTGTGGCACATCCCCGTGTCGAGCCGAGACCTGGAGGTCACCTTCTCTGTTTCTCTTTGGACTCATTGATTCTTGTCTGCGGACGGACTCCGGTTCTTTGCGCCGATTTCCTCCCTCCGGTTCGTCCCTCTCGAACTCCCGTCGAGCTGGCGACGGCTTTCCTGAAGACTTTCCTCTACTACACGGCATTCAACGCTGACATTGGTACGCTGAATTTCATCATCTCCCACATTTCCACCAACCACTCCTCTTTCAAGTTCTCCACGATTCGATGGTCGCATTCCATCTTGAGTAATTCTTCGACCTATCAAACCAACGTCGAATCGGCGAGAGGTAACATAAAGTGAAGCACGCACCACTCGGCCGCTCTATGACGTCATCCCCCGCCTGAGCGGGGCCCCTGCGAACCCACCGACCGGACTGATCTCGTGACCAGCCTGTGGACCTTTCCCCTAAAGACAGCGACTCGTCGATTTGGCGCGAACATGCTACAGCTGTGAGCTCGAAGGAGGAGTCTCACCGGTACAGTATTCCCCTTCAAGCACGACCACCGTAGCGATATCCGATAAAAGGACAAGAAACGGTCAACATATAATGCGATCACGAGAAATATTGTGCTAGACGGACAGAAAAATCAGCGCGCGCTGTGAATACTTCGATACTGATGAAATCCCGTACGGCTTGACGCACATACCAGCTCCCTTATAACCCTCACGGGGCCTCTTGGCGAAAGGATCCTCCCCCGCATCGATCATCTTCTGAATCTCCGCCTCGCGCTCCTCCCTCTTCTGCTTCATTGCATCACGACGTCTGTTTGGAGCACTCAAACGAGATAGCAACACATTTGGCAGTACTTATCAATTCTCTCCCTGACGTTGTCCAGCACTGCCTGGACCACATTATCGTCCAGTTTTTCAGCGTAAAGGTCAAATTTAATCGGCTTACTACGAGCTGTGGAGGCAGGCGAGTTTTCCTGTGGGGTCTGAGGTGGAAAGAGTCATTCAGCTCACTTTCCTCCGCTGAGCTCAGGATTTTCCTCGCTACATTTTGATACTTTACTCACGGACTCAGGAAGAAGTATAAAAAAACAAGATGCACGTGCAAGAATTTCCTCACAATTTTCATTGTGTCACCAACACATGTAGTTGACCATGTGCATATTTTCCCACACTGTACGTTGTGTCCAACGTGAACGCCATATTCAACGCATGCTTAGAATTTCCGGGAGAGCCACTACACTCGACCTCGCAACAGGGCCCCAAGGAATATGCCAGTGCGATGCTTCCCTCGAGCTTCAGCACCTCTTTCTTTTCAGGCTCTTTCTCTTCTTCTTCCTCTTGGATCTGCTCCTCTGCTTTGATTTCCTCCTCGAATTTGTCATGCTTCCAAACAAATCCTCGCGACCCGCTAGACCAGCCTTTACCGCTGAACCCCTTTCCTTTACCTTTACCGAATGGACCGTCACCGTACCTATCACTGCGGAATTTTCAGATCTATTGCACTGAGCCCAGGCGCGGTCAGGCTCCCATTCCAATAAATTTCCACAATAAAGTTGACCAGTGGTTCCGACCTGCCCTTTCCCCAGGATCCCTTGCCGCTGCCCTTGCCAAACGGAGTGAAGGGTCCTCGACGCTCCAGTGGAGGAGGAGGAGGAGGAGGCGGCTGCCTTGGACTCTCCCTGAAGGTCCAGAGAGCAACGATGGTAACAGAAAAACCATCCTTATACGACTACCTTTTCTCATCTCTGCGACGATCGAAGTCTTCCCTGCTGTCGCGATGGCGATCTCGTTCTCGCTTTTCTTCGGGGACCTTGTCCTCTACTTCTACCCTCTTCCGTTCTGATTTATGCTCTCCGCTCCGTTCTTCCCTAGGACTGATCTCCCTGTCATTTCGATGGCGTTGAGGTTCATCACGACGACGGCTGGAATGGCGTCGATCGCGACTAGCCGATCGACTACGACGCCTCTCTCTACGAGTCCTGTCTTCGGAACGGTCACGGTGTTTCCTGGGCGACGAGTCTTCGCCTAAAACTGCTGTGAGAATAAGGCGAATTTTGGCTCCCTTACCTCGGCGATCAGAGCGAGAGATCCTCTCGCGGTCGTCTCTGCTAGAGCGCCTTCTCCTGCGATCGTCAGGGGACTCACTACGAGCCATAAAGACTAAGAGACAAACTGAGGACAGTCCATACACGAGATCGTGCTGCTTGTGGTGAACGAATGAGAAATGTGAGCAACACCCATTAGAACCGGCACGGCTTTCTCATACTTCAAACGCAACTGTTTGGTACTCGGCGATAGAAACTAACTCATTCGAGTTTGAAAATGTGCGTATGGTGGAGGACTATAGCCTGTTTTATTAGGGAGTAGCGCGAAAGCGCCGAGAGTGAGGGGGAAGTGCACCATCAGTGTGTCACCACCAAACGACAATGATGGAAACGGAGAAGTTCAGAAGCAACAGAATGATGTAAGGCAGGAGGCCCTTCGTCGACATCTTTGCCGTATGCTATAAGAGAAGCTCCTTGCTTTCCTCGAGCTTACTATGATCATCAACTACATGACGGGTCACAGGCGGGAAACGAGGAACGTGTAGGTGATGGCACATAGTGAGCGTCGACTAGGCCGCAGCCCTCGAGTAATCTACGGGCTGCGCTACACCACCTAACTATGCCCGTAGTGAGACTATTTTGATAGTCCTGGTTCCCCCTAGGGTTATCCAAACTAAGTCGGGAAAGAAAACTGCGTTGTTCTGAACGACTCGCGAGGGAACCGGAGAGGGTCGGTCTGCTCTCCGAATTCGAGACAAGTTTCGCTTGAGGTGGTAATGAGATCGACCTGTAGAGTTGCAAGTCGGAATTCGGTTGGAAACGGTATTCAGTCCGTCCACCCATGATTTGGGTAATTCATTCTCTCAGCAAGTCTCATGAGATTCTCCTGAAAATTCACCACAAGTTAATTTCAAATGTGCCTCACTCACGGACGAGTGATGCAGTAGCAATCAAAGTAGACAGCCCACGAACGAGATGATCGAATTCTTTGCATACTTGTCTCCGTGAAAATCGAGTGGAAAGGTTTCTCCGATTGCGTGACCTTTGGACACATCAACTTTGGACATAAAGTTGTCGAAAGCCCTTTGGACAGCAAGGGATGTCAAAACGAATCTCATGACTAAGTTTTGGACAGTCTGTCCAAAAACTACCTAAGGGAGTAGTTTGGACATGAAGTTGTCGAATATTTTTTTTTCATCAACAAGTTGTCCAATTACGCCTGTAGCGACCTTTGGACAGCTTTCTGATCAATTGGACATGTTTGGACAATATTTAGTAATCTGGACTACAATGTGTCGGATGTGGCACAGATTACCTTTGGACATCTGTCTCGAATGCGCTCGCCCATAAATGTTTCAAATTTATCTGACAATGCAAATTCCTGATAGTTCCTTAATAGTATTAGCTTTCGATGAGGCTATTAATTTTCTTATTTTTGCGACACGAGAGATGAATCAGCTCAGCTGATAAGATGAGATGGCGATGTTAAAAAAACCAAAAAAACCAAAAAAACCAAAAAACAGCGGAGATGGACTGGTCACCCTCGCCGACTATCGAAGACCTCAAAAGCCGCTGATGTGTGCGAAGCATTGGCTGGCCGCCTAGCCGAAATCGGCTTCGAGTGAGGGAGAGAGGGAATCTTTTAGTCGGTGTTGTTTTTGCATTATGGCTGAGACTGCAGTAAGGATAGTGTACCGGCATTTCCTACCATGTGAGAGCGTGGATGAAGTTGATTGTGCTATTTGTCTTTTACCTGGCGATGATCTAGATGCAGTCCGTGGGGCTATGATTCAATGTGATGGGTGTCGAAAATGGTATCACTGTTTATGTAGTGGTGTTCAAAACGGCGCTGCTACTGCTACTATGACAATAAGGGCATGATACTGTGTATCAATGTGGCTGACTCTCGGTATGAGATAGGAGATGAAGAGCTAAGTGAGAACCGTGATGATAGCGGACGATCATTCTAAGTATTTCGAAATAGAAGGATCGAAACTTTAATAGTCATTTGTCGTATCAGCTGCTCTAACACAGCATGTCTATTATTTCGACTCGTTGCGAAGCTGTAAGTATTCGTAGCATTCCGAAGTATCTTATGTTATTTATTGTACTCGAGGTATTTGGAGGTAGAACTCCTATCCAATAACAAAGTCTGTAATGCAATCAGTTTACATCAGTATTATCAATTTTCATCAGCCGTAATCAATCCTTCTCCTGATCGTTATGAGTTGAGTTTATACATTACTCGCTAACTTATGGAGAGATTAGTGAGATTATCCGTGAGATTATCAAACTCCCATTCCCGTTCCCAGTAGGAAAATAACCAGATATACCGTTTTAAATGCCCTTATCATGTTGTGTTTCAATATTCACGATCTAACAATGTTATTATCGAACACAATACAAGTGCAACGTGGAATGATTCTACTAGAATCAGGTGCGGACCAATAGTCGACTGCCATTTCGCACCAGAAGTGTATATCACACTAAACTCAACACAGAAATCTATGCAAACCTCAACGCTCAAAATATCGCGGGAGACAGACGGTGTAAAAAATCGGTGTGTACACGCTTCATCAACTATGCTCAGCTATGGATCATAGCCAATGACTGACTTAAAGAGCTTGTGTTGTATACTTACATCACGTGTATGAACTCGCATGTTAATCCCGAGAATCCCGAGTCTACCGATATCCGAGTCGGATAATCCGAGTGAGTTCAGTACATGATGTAATTGTTCTAGGGCGGAAGAGGTCTCGAGACTTGCGAATCAGGAGGAGTCCCACGAAGAAACTATCCCTAACCGCCAGACTTCTCCAAACAATCATTCCACTGAATCTAGTTAGAAATATTGAATGAATTACAGCCGTTAAACATTCGCACGATAAATCCGTCCTCAGTTGCCTCGAAGGTTATGACTCCTAAATGTTCAATGAGATCTAGTAAATCTGATTTACATCCGTGTGTGATGAGTAAACATGTTCGCCCAAACGTGCGTGCCTTTATATGTAGTGTTGTATCAAACAATTTGCTTACAATTGCAAGGTACGGGACCGAAAGACATATGCGACATATGCGTTTGAAGATAAACTGTTGAAGCTTTGCAATCAATGTGATCCAAACGTAATTGTGTGCCATCGGTCATCTATGCTAATATCGCTAAGTGTGAAAGCTTCGAGATTGCAAGATAGCGTTATCAACTCACCATGAACTGTCCAAAAGTGCCAACGACAAGCTTTGGACAAGTTTTCGAGGGAAATGCAGACAAATCCACCTTTGGACACCACTTGGACAAGATGTTGTCCAAATGAGGCGAGATGTCCTTCTGGACATGTCGACACGTATTTGTTGTCCAAAAAACCTGTCCAAAGATCACCCATGGTGTTGCTTTCGACATTTCCTGTCCAATTTGTACATTTTCGGGCGAGCGCCACTACGTTTCAAGTTGTCGAAACATAGCCCATGGGTTGAGTAATGGACACCTTGATAAGCATTTAACTTTGGACAAGAAAGTTGATGTGTCCAAAGAAGCGCTTACGGTTTCTCCGATGACCACCAGATGACAATCTTGAACTCTTGCATTTCCTCAAATAGCCGTTTTCACTATTCAGCTTATCTTTAGCCGTAGCTCGCCAGTCTTCCAGCCTCGATGTCTCGTGACGTCTCGTATGAGATTTCTTACTTCATCATTCAGGTCAACGAGTGGACTGTTCCTCTCGGGCTAGGCGGTCTGTTTTCAGGGGAGGTACCCTTCCCTGATGCCAACACGGAGGGTAGGTAAGAACATGTGCTTTGCTAGACGATTTAGTATTTACCAAGTCTAATTGTGATGCTCGAGGGACAGGAGTTCTGTCGTTGATGAGCAGGCGCAGGATGTGAGGTGTGCCAAACTCGTTGTTGGAGTTTTTCTTATAGACTATTGTATCTCGATAGTGATGCTAGCAACCGGTCTCATCTAAAGTGGTAAGTTTCCTTCGTGTGAGTCGGGGGGGAGTTTCCCTCAAGCTCAGAGTGATGCTCAGCAAGGGGAAACTTCCGTTTTACCCTTATAAGCATGGTTGTGTATCTTTTCCTCGTGTAAAAACGTTGGAGTTTTGTGTTCGGTTGGCAACAGCTTAGTGAGGTTGTGCATATTTTTTACTCGATAGTCTTCTTGCCAGTTCAAGTTTTTCTTCAACGACTTACTAGTGGATATGTTCGCCGCCTCAACCGCTCTTGCCGCCTGCGAGCCCAGCTCTGCTTTCTTCGGTTTCATGGGTATCACTGCTGCCATCAGTTTCGCCAACCTCGGTGCCGCCTACGGTGAGTCTGCTGCCTCCTCTGAAGCGGTTGAACTCCCCCTTGATTAGGTACCGCTAAGTCTGGTGTCGGTATCTGCTCCATGGGTGTTATGAGGCCCGATCTCGTGATGCGATCTATCATTCCTGTCGTTATGGCTGGTGTCTTGGGTATTTACGGTCTCATCACTTCCGTTATTATTAACGGTAAGATGGATACCCCCGCTACCTACTCCCAGTACTCTGGCTATGCCCATCTCGGTAAGTCCTCAGTCGGAGTAGAGTGAACTTGATTTTGTTCTCTTTCGTTAGGTGCCGGTTTGACTGTTGGTCTCTCATCTCTGGCCGCCGGTTTGGCCATCGGAATCGTCGGTGATTCTGGTGTTCGCGCCAACGCCCAGCAACCCAAGCTTTTCGTCGGTATGATCCTCATCTTGATCTTCGCCGAAGCTCTGGGTCTATACGGTCTCATTGTCGGTCTTGTTGTTGCCTCTACTGCCACTGAGAAGGGTGCCGGTCTTTGCAGCTCCTTTGCTCCTCAGTAAGTCGTCTTCCATTCAACTCGTCAGTCGCCGCCCTAAGGGAGGTTGATGTCGTTGTTGAAGGTGGGAGTCGGAAAGCTTCTGTTAAGATGATAATAAGAGTTATATAGGCTCATCGTATTTCCTTTAATGCGATTAGCTAACTACTACCATTATTGTGCTGATGATATTCCGCTACCATTACTGGACTCATCTGTCTAGTCGTCCGCTCCAATATTTGGTCGTACGCTGGTTGGTGTGGTTCAATTGTGGTGGTAAATGCTTCATCGGAGTGAACTGCTAGGCAGTTTGTGTTAATGGGAAGGGTCATTTTGTTGTCAATGTTAATGGTGTTGAGGAATTATCGTTCTTCCCCTTTTTCCACCTGTATGCCTCACGGGCGAGTGAACGCCCGAAGCAGTTCTCTTGGCACAGTTCGGTGAGTGGGCGGGTCGGTACCGTCGTTGATAGAAATTCGTTCCACCTTTTGCGCTAGTAGGAAGTTTTCTCCTTGAGATTTTGGAGGTTTCTCAGTGCCATGTATATTCCGCACATGGTTGTATCGCTACGCTTTATCCGAGCAGCAAAGTCGAATATCTTGTTCGCTTCTTTTCACGCGGTGTTATATCTTCATGAGACTTCGGTGGTATCGCATTTCGCATCGGTCGTGATATTCTCTGTTCCGGTCAAGTATCGCATTGGTTGAGACGTTCAAGGATGACTCAAGGGCTGCAGTGGGTGGGAGAATCACTAGTGTGTGTAGTGGAGCGTCAGTGGCCGAGACATCGGAGTGGTGTTGCTGTCGTTGTTGTAAATGGGTTGTTGCTAATGACATGAATTGTAGATTTACTGTTGTTGTGATTGGAGAACTCCATTTCGTTCGCTCCTGTTGTTGCTGCGTTTTCAATGAGTCTGTTCCTTATCAGCTTGGGTGTATAGTTGTTGGGAAAAGTTACATTTACGAAAATTGCTCTTGGATCCAGATTCTGATTATCGATTTGTGAGAGCGTATTGCTATGGAAGCTATCTGGATCTCATGATGTCATGCCTTCTAGGTCAATATGGTCCTATATTAGGATGATATGGAGCTATCTGGCGTCGTACATCATAAGAGTTCGCAGTGGACATTATTGCCGCTCGTTTGCCTGTGAGGTCTTCACTGCGGCAGCTTCAAGCCTTGACGTTGTCGAGGAGACACTTGGAGCTGCGGGTAAACCGTGGTTAGTTTGTCCATGTCCTATTGTTGGATCGAACTGGTAATTATGGCTCACCGTATGGCCGTGTTGCCAGGGGTATCTATTTTTGAGTTCAATCGGATGAGAGAGGTGGCTGGCCTGGCCGTTTGCTTGGCTCAGTACGATTCTCAGCGATTTCTCTTGCAACTACTATCATAGTTGGCATTCCTGTTTCACTTGCGCCATGGTCGGCGACCTTGTAACGTTGTAGTACTAGAGACCTACTCATTCGAACAAAGGCTGACAGTGTTACTGTCGGTCTTGCCTGTCACTCGCAGACTGCACCACTACCGTGTCGATGTGATTTCTGTGGATCTCAGTTGATTTTTTGAGGCCAAGCTATGCCAGGTTCGGCTGCCAATCGAACTCCCGTCTACACCGTTGTTGATGCGGGGTAGTATGGGAAGGTACTGCGGGAGTAGATTGGCCTGTCTTTTTCAGTAAACAGCCTGATCCCTCGAAACCCTCGCATGGGCGCTCCGATGATCATCATCGGTAGTGCCCCATTCTCGTCTTTGTGCCGTGATTGAGTCGCTTGTCAGCGCTCAAGCCAGGGAGAACTCGCCTGGGGAATATACATACGCGGCCCAACCGGGGGCTGCCTATGCTCTCCAGCACCAAGCTGAACATGCTGCCGCCTATGAGCAGCCTCACTATGCTTCCCCATATGGGTGAGCAAATGGACTAAATCGCGAATCGCCAAACTTGTCTCGAAAAGGTATCCCACTTACGCGACTGTCGGCACTGCGGGTACCCCATACGGCACGTACTATGATGGAGGAGTGGGGAATCTTTATGGTGGGCAAAGGTTCAGTTTAGCCTTGCATTGAATAGTCATGTGAACGACTAACCAGATTCATTGCCACACGCATTTTCCTCATGGTTTTCTGTCTAGGCATTTCGGGTATCGAGAGCGAGGCTGAAAAGGAGGCTCAGAAGCGCAACGGGGCGAGGAGATGCAAGAGAGGCGGGATGTGCTGTTGATCCTGTGTCGCGTATTGGTACCACCGGATTTTTGCTTTCGCAGTACTTCGTAATTCCGGATAACAATGGTGTTCACATACCGTGGTTGTTGTCACTCACTGAGGAAGAGTTGTTGTGTTTTTCGCGGAGTTGTGGCTTATGTCGTGGGCAGCGCTTTCACTATGCAAAATTTCGCAAACATTTTCAATACCGCGTCGAGGTTCAACCCGGCGGCGGTTCTCAGCTTCAAGCCTTTGGACGCTCCAGCTAGGAGGCATCTGCAGAAAATGTAAGTCTCAACTAGGGCGCTATACGAGATGTCTCTCGGCGCTTGAGACAGCTAGTCAAAAATAGAAGACGGCTCAATTTTAGCTGACTTCAGATACGGGATTCTGACGATCGGCGTGGCATGCACAGCAGCTGGCTGTTGGTTCCACATACATGTACTATAGTATTGGGGGTGGGATAGTTTCGTTCACTGTAGCTCACTATGCCAGGTTGCGCACATAGGCTCCTTCATTACCGCGATCATGTCCATAGCTCTCTTGATGGGGTCGATGTACACCACTGACCCCTACAACGACCGTATCGACCCTAAGCGCTTGGCTATGTTTGGAGGATTCGCCTTCTTGAAAGGAACCTCTCTGGGACCTCTCATTCACTATTCGGTGATGGTAATATCTGTTTGAAGCGAGCTCATGACTCAAATTATTACGCATATCATCGCAGATTGATCCAGACCTGCTTATGACAGCCTTCTACGGCACACTGGCCATCTTCGCCTGCCTTTCTGCGTGTGCCATGTAGTATTCCCAATAGCCGTCGCGAGATCGTGATGATGCGTTGTCAGATTCTCGCGTAGGCGAGAGTGGCTCTATCTAGGCTCGATTCTAAGCTCGGTGATGCTGTACATGGCCTTAGTCAACATCGGGAATATCTTCTTCCGTTCGAACTTGGTAATGTGTCTCAGGAGACTAAGCGCTGCTCATGCTTGAAGGCATCTAGGTATTCAACTTGAACCTCTATGGAATGCTCTTGGTGTTCATGGGTTACGTCCTGGTCGACACTCAAGTGGCCATCGAGTCCTTCTACAGCGGCTACAGAGACCCTATCAAGGCTGCAGGCGAACTCTACACCGACCTTGTTGCTATTTTTGTGAGTCTCAGTTGATCTCATTTGACTTTCCCGGTGGACCCTGTTCATGCATGAATGAAATCAGAATGGTCGTTTGGGTCGCATCTGTCAATGTGTCGCGATTAGAGCAATCTCGTCCTCTTGTTTCACGTGCGAGGAAGTTTCTGCGAATGTCTCTCTGTAGATTCGAATCTTGGCCATTCTGATGAGGAACTCGGAGGGTCGTAGGAAGGACGACGACAGACGCCGAAGACGCTAAGATTCCCGTTGAGCCGTTGCGGGCATCACAATCTTCTCTTTGATTCTTGTATTCGTATGAGTTGAGTTGTATACCAATTGATGGTTCCGTATGGAGGAATTTTGCAGTCGTGATGGGTTGTCGTCTTTGAAACTGCGTGGATGGCGATTGTGCGTCGTTCCCATAGGGAAAGATATACTTCGCATTCCTTCTCCCTATTACACAATTTCAACGTCCCGTTGTAAGTGTCTTGAACTCCTAGCTTGTTGGCTGTTCTCCGATGACGTTCGCTTCCCCTCGTCGAGGCTTGCCGGGACTCGCACGTGACGTGAGGAGAGAGATCGGCGCCCACCTCCTCCTCGCCGAAGAAGCGGCCAGGCGGGAGAAGCTAGTGTTGGAACTCGATGAAGACATTCGACTGACGCACGCCGATCGCGGGTAGGCCCCGAGCGACCGCTCACACTGTCCCTTCCATCAGTGTTTAGGGATGCCGTGAAACCCGTTGAGATGGGAAGCAGCCGAAGCCCACATCGAAAGTTCCATGCGGAGAATGTCTTGCGGAGTGCCTTGCGGTCCCTTTTGCGGGTGCTCAGCAGTCGGAGCTCGTTGGACGCGTTAGGTGAGAAGAACATTTCTCTTCTAATCGCCGCGTCCCAGCCGGCCAGGTGAGTAGTTGTCTCCATATGGGATAGTGGAATTGCCTGGTCTCAGAGGGCTAGATGAGGGCATTGACCACTACCTCAACGACTTGACTTGTCGCGTTTTGGAGACACGCGAGAAATCGCGAGGCACATCTGCGTCGACACCCTCCATGGTAGAGTCTTGGACGTCGCTATCACGACCAGAAGAGGATTCCAAAAAGGATTCTGACAAGGAAAGGCTCGGCATGGGAGTCTCTGATGAGCGATGGGCTCCACCCAAACCGCTGCGAGGACCACCATCGGAGCCCCTCCGGAAAATATCGACTCCTATCCCATCAGAACGAGTCGCAGCGGACGTAGCAAGTCGTTCGTCGGATGGCCGCGGTCAACTCAAAAAAGGAGGGATACGGTCTCTGAAGAGTCCCAGTCGACATTATAGAGCACAGACAGTACCCCCTCCGAGCAGCCGTCCTGAGTCCCATGGTGATGGAGGAGAGGCTCAGTTCCATGCTTGGGCGGCTCATCCTGTGCTGTATAGAGAGCTGCGGGTTGAGGAAGTGCGGAAGGCCTGGGCTAAGGAGGAAAGAGAGAACGCTCACAGACAGGAATTGCTGAAGCGGCGTCAGCGTGTGGAGGACTGTACGAAGGTCGTCTCCTCTCAGACCACGGCGGTCACCAGTAAAGAGGACTCGACTTCTCCTGTACTCCCCGTGACGTTAGATAGGGACTCGATTCGGGAAAAGCCAGAGGGAGGCATGGTTATGGTGACGATGGAGAAGGGCACGACCTCAGTGACGTCAGGAGGAGGATTCGTAGCCAACAGCTCTCCGGAAGTACCCCTAAACTCAGCGGTTCCGATGAAAGACGTCGCCTCGCTACGACCAGTCGGTCCGCTGGTCTCTCTGACGTTACCACAGCGAGGTCAACTGCTAGGTCCGAGGCTGCAAGTGTCGCGGCGGACTAAGCCAACTCCTCGGAGGGGACTGTTCCGCACGGCTGTGCCGCGTCAGGTTAGCGTGGTCCGTAAGAGTCTGAACCTTGTGTATAGCCATTACTCATCTCGACTTTTCGTCGACCACTTTTCGAAGTCATTTAAGCGCAGTGGGAGGATGGAATCATTCAAGAACAGATCCTGTCTAGGGAGGAAGGGTGACGTAAGCCCTTCCAGAGAGCCAACAGGAATTCCATTCGAGAAGTCTGTGGATGCCCCCGAGAACCTGGAGGAGGATCCCGACACGGGCCACGAGGCGACTCGCAGCTTGGTTGATCATCATAGTGAGACACCTCTCAATAGTATGATCCCTAGTTCTCCGAAGACCAATCAGAAGCCTGCCATTCGCGAATACCTCCCGAGTGATGCCGTTGCTGCTCCATTACCGCTTCCAACCGGTACGTTGAAGGACTCCAATGACCTTCCTTCTGGCTTGGATGGTCTGACCAGGCAACGAGACACCAACCCGTCGAAAGAGGTGGAGAACATGTTCATTAGTTTCGGCGCTAGCATGACGGCATTGGCTACTAGCCTTATAGCCAGCGTATCACCGCCAGGGGCCACGAGTCATGAACCGGACCGAGCTGGAAGGACTGTTACGTCGACCGGTGGAGACGACCAAATGCCGTTGGAGGATACGGGGAGTTCTATTCGGGACGACCCGGGTTTGACCGACGAGCCTGCAGTCTTACCTCCTGCCAGCGTTTCGCAAGCCTTCGAAAGTCTGGGTCATGTTGATTCCCACCAGGCGACGAAATCGGCGGACGAAACGTCTACGTTCGATCATATAATAGCCAAATCTATGCGAAGGCGCAGTAAGAGGATCGTAAGGAAGGCCATCAATAGGGTCAAGGCCAGGTCCGAGGGGAAACCTCGAGGTGACAGTCCCCATGGGAGTTCACAGACGCTGCAGTTGAACAGCATATCTGAGGCATCTGAAGAGGACGCCGTTGGATTCACTGAGGCCTCGATAGACAATATGGCCGGGCAAGCTGTTAACAAAGTGAATGTTCGTCAAGAGAATACCATAGTCGAGCCCAGAGTGGATGTAGCGTCGCGGAAGCGTGACGAGTTGAATGCGGCGCCTCTCGACTCTTCCTTGTCTAGAGAGTATCGAGATGGTACTCAGAACGCTCTTGAGTCACTTAATGAAGTTGTCCCGTTCAATGGTAAAGCACCTCGTGTTGGTGGAAGTAAGAAGAGAGCGAGCACCAACAAGGTTCAGAGCCGTACTCACATAGACTCAACTCTGACCATGAGTGCTTCCAAGCTCTACAAGACATTCATTGCGAGCCGAGACGATGAAGGCGACAGTCCTCTCTCTAACAGGGGTGTCTCGAAAGTCTACATTCAGTCAATGCTACGGGGAATCTCCCAGAGTAGGGCATCAGGCGCCCGACAGCAACGCATACTGAGCCGATCCCGCTTCTACGGAAAGGCCGTGGGGTAGTTGCCATTTGCACTCCCATTTGTCACATTGCAAAGGCTTGTTGCCATGTAATACTATGCTTGTCGGTGTTGGATCGCGAGGAATTGAGTTGAAGTAATCTTGCAATCTTGATCTATCTTGCATTTCCTCAATATTCTCGAAACGTCTGACTCTATTGTGCAGTTCTGAGTGGTTCTAGGCGAGGGACTCTGTGAGAGAGATAACCGCACAACTTAACTCAAGATCTCAGATGGGATAGATCTAGAGTGGCAGAGTAGAGAGCGATAGAGCGGTCCAGTGCGTGGAACGTAGACACGCTGAAGCAACTACCCAAGCTTAGTAGCTGATCTAATTCGCGAACCGCGACCGTTACTGAAATGGCGAAACGGTGAAACGGTTAGATACGATCTTGCTCACTTGAGTTTACTCAAAGGTACTGTCGTCACAGGACAGTTCTGGGGGCCCGGAGTGAGCAGACAATGGTATCACAGAATATAATCATCATCAATAATGACGGTCAGCGCTTGGTCATCTTGAGGTTGTCAAGGAAACGGACAGACGCTCGAGTCAGACGGAAATCGGTCTTGTTGTCGGGGAAGTCGTCAGAGTCTCCTTGGACACGAAGTAGATAGGCAGTCGGAGAAGAGACCATATCCGAGCGAAGACGTAGAGAGTTTCCGTCGGCAGAACGGTCTGCTAGTTGCAGTCGGTAAAGGCCTTGGTCAACGCTGATAACCCTTCCATATTGGAGTCCACCTCGACCAGAAGAATTGATGTAGGCGAAGTTCTTCACTTCAGGATGGGGGTCACCGGTACGGCGTGGAACAGTAGTCCGTCTAGTCCTTGGCCGAGAGGAGGTCGAAGAAGGCTCGTGAATGACTGTGTCGTCTGCTGAAGAGCCGGTGGTTGATGTGAAGGCCTTCGAAGGTAGAGCACTTGAAGCAGTGTCGTTGACGTGGGCGTCGTCCTGAGCACTTGCTAAGGCCTTCGAAGAATCAGCTTCAACTTGGGGGCTAACGGTGGTCTCGGCGCTAGGAGCCTTGTCAGGAATGGACTCATCAGAAACTTGATGAGACTCTGGGGGCCCAGGTAGGGGCGTGTCAGAGTCGTGGACAGGCTCAGAAACCGTCCGCACCACGTTGTCGATGGGCTGGAAAAATACAGACCGATAACGGTTGGCGCCAATGGTGGGAGTCAGCTTGACTGAATTGCCACAACGTTGAAGAACTCGGAAGGGACCGGTAGTGGATGAGCTGAGCTTAGTCACACGTCTGGGGAGCTTGAGATAGACAATGTCACCCGTGTTGACAGTAGGAGCTTTATCACCAGCTCGAACTCGTCGTCCTTCACGATTCTTCTCCCAAGTAGAGAGTAACCATTCACTAACCCGCGCAGAGGGCTCTTGAAAGGCCTTCGGGAGCGTGGGGTCGACTGGAGGAGAAAGGGCAGCACACTGTAGATAAGGATAAGTGTGAGCCAGGTCCCAACTTGGGACTCCCAAGGAGAGTTGACCAAACCGGAGTCATCCCAGCGAAACCGAGCATTGGAGCGAGCGGTGGCCTCCAGGACGGTGAGATCCCATGGTTGGTCTCGGGCTTGAAGGAGACGAAGCTGCTCATTGAGCTCGGCATGGTGGCGCTCATAGGCACCTCCACGTTGTGGAGACCGGCTGTAGATGAACTGCATCTCGATAGAATAGGAGAGGCATAGACATCGGAACTCAGAACCCCGGAAGGACTGAGAGTTGTCACACCGAAGACCTTTGGGAACCCCTGCAAGGGCCAATATCTTCTTGAAAGCCAGCGTAGTCTGCTCAAGAGAGGTGCTAGGGACAGCTACTGCGAGCTGGTAGCCCGATAGCAGACAAGTAGCCACAAGACAATGAGGGAGCCGTTGAGAGCCTTGCCTTACCGGGACATCATAGGGGCCGGTGTGGTCGAGACCGATATACTGCCAGACAGCTGTAGGAGCTGCGAAGGTGCCAGCAGGAGCATGGATAGGGCGCTGGGTCTTAGCGGAGAGACAGGAACGACAGCATCGGCAGACAGGAACCACAGTGCGCTTCATGCGGGGCCAGGCATACATGGTGCTTAGGCGCCGCAGAGTTGCATTGATACCTCCATGATGCCATCCGTGACACTTGACAACCAGTAGTCGTTGAAGAAGAGTAGACTGCTTCGGTATGACCAACTGGTTGAAGATAGTACCATCACCCGCTTGACGTGTCGACCGATAGATAAGGCCTTCGTCAGTCTTGAAGTGAAAGGGTAACTTGTGGAAGGCCTTCAAATGGAGGCGTTGTTGCTGACGTATAAGCAGACGCAAGGGGTCGGCGATCGTGCTTGTGCTGGAAGCTGGAGTGCCTGGTAGCAGCTCCGTCCTTAAGGCATGCCACGCCTTGACGAGGAGCTTAAAGCGGGACAGTCGCTCAAGAAGATGAAGCGAGTCGTCGTCCACTGTGAAGGCCTCCTGGTCAGTCTTCTCACTTTCACCAGCGGGATTAGAGGTCGTCGCTGCACCAAGTGACGCCAATGTAACCTTGGGCTTTGATGACTCCTTCTTGGACCAACGCGTGGGGAGAGCAGTAGGAACATACTCTGGGTCAAGGCGGAAAACCATAGGGTTGGCTTGTAGATCACCGTCGTTGCATCGCAAAAGGTCATCATGGAAGGCTCGAATGTGGCAGAAGAGGGCGTCGGAGTCAATGGACAAGGACTTCGGCTGACACCTTGAGGGAGCATCGGCCAGGTTAGACTTGCCGCTGAGATGCGATACCACCACATGAAGGCCTTCACAACGGGTCTGTAACTGGTGGATAGCGTTCTTGACCTTGAGCACTCTCCGGATAGTCACCAGGTCCTCTACGCTGTGGGCCGTGGTCGGAGTCACTTGACGTAGCCGAGAGATAGATATACTGCTGTCAGTGAAGACCAGAAGATGATGGACAGGAGAGTGGTCGTTGGACTCCTGAAGCATAGCCGATGCCCACTCCAGCGAAGACGCCAAGGTGTCCAGCTCAAACTTGGGGGCCGTACGACGTCCTTGGAGTTGGTGGAGACACCCTGAACCTGCAATACGCTGGCCGTGGAGGGTGTACAACAGAGCAGCGCCTGCGGTGTCACTGCTGTCTGTGAAGAGACAGACCGAGTTGCAGTGACTTTCACCTGGCCGACGTAGAAGTCGAGGCCCCCTTAGGTCGAAGGCCTTCAATTGATTCTCCCAGGCGACAAGAGCCTGGGTGTCCTCAGAGCGGAGGTGACCAGTGTGCGGGTCGGCGTTAGACCTGGCTTGGCGGCACAGGAGGCGGAGCTGCATAGAGAGCTCGAGATGCCAACCGAGGGGGTCATAGAAGCCGTTGCCGTAACGCTTGAGAAGCTTGACTGTAGCCACCGTTGAGGCCTTATGACGAAGGTCTGACTTGAGAGACAGAGAGTCACACTTCGGATACCATCGCACACCTAGACATGGCTGGGGATCACTGGGTATCTGGTCGGGAAGGTTGCTGACTTCCTTCTTGTCATTGGTCTCGAACATGCGATGCGACAACCGCTGGGTGATGTCGCGACGAAGGGCAGTAAGATGGCGAGGATCATCAGAGCCAACGGAGATGTCGTCCATAAGGCAGCGAACGTGCTTCGTGGGAGCATCAGCTTCGACCATGCCCTTGGCGAGAGAATCAGACATCGCGAAGGGCGAGTCTGGCATGCCGAAACATACTCGCTGAAAGACAAAAGCCTGATTGCACCAGAAGAACCCGAGGCATCGCTGGTCTTCGACGAGAGGCAGCTCGATTTGTAGGAAGGCCTGCACGATGTCGAGAGCCACGAAGTACTTGTAACGGCGAAGGAGTCCAAGACTCTGTGGTACTCCTTGATGAAGGCCTTCGGGCAGACTGGCATCGATGAACTTGCTGAGAGGTGAACCGTCGAAGACAGGCCTGAGTCGCATTGAGCTTCGATTCACAGAGCCTTCTTGAGACCCCTTCTTGATAACAGGAAAGTGATGCAACCAGAAGCGAACTTCTTCTCGGGGCACCGGCTTGACATAACCCTTCTGGACGAAGCCACGTATCTCTGCATCGTAGGCGTCAAAGAGACCCTTGCGGCGAAGTTGATGGGCTAGAGCAGAGGACCGCTTGAGGAAGGGAATGTGAGAGTTGTTAGGCCGGTGACCAGTTCGCCAGCGGAGATGGTGTACAAACCTGTGAGGAGGAGGCGACGGAGTAGAAACCTGCTTGGAGGGCACAGGATCAGAGTAGACCACCAAGGTGTCCGTGACAGGCAGCGAGGCTAGAGTCACCAAGGGGCAAGGCTCTGAGAAGAGCAGCTGCATGAAGGAAGTAGAAACCGAGCCGTTGGTGAGGTCGTCGTCAGCAACGTTGGAGAAGTCGTCGACCACAGGAAGGGGAATGACGGAGTCCTTGTTGAAGCAAGACTCGTGCTCATCCAAGTGAACAGTTGGAGGTTGTGTGTCACCGAGGTCGATGGAGTTAAGGCCTATAGCCACCTTGTTAGAAGGGTCATCCGGAGGTGCAGACCTGGAGAGGTCCACGGCGTCGATGAAGGCCTTCCATGCAGTAGCTACTTGAGGTGTCGTGTCCACGAGGGAGATGATGCGATCACCAGAAGGATTGAAGACCCATAGAACTGGACTTTGTACACGGCGAAGAACGTCACAGCTGAAGATGAAGTCTCGAGCAAGGCCATGAACAAGAGCAATGAAAGTCTGAACCCGTAGGCCTTTATGACAGTAGGTGATCTTGAAGATGGGACACGAGTTCACCCGACGGGACACCGCTAGAGTAGCAACACAGGTAACACCGGTAGGCTCAAGAGCGACATTGGCTTGTTGAAGGCGAAGAAGGCCTGAGTCGGAGCAAGCGAGTAGCTGAGAGCCGGAGTCCAGCAGCCCAGTGAAACCAGGACAACGACCATCCTTCGTGAGGAAGTTGAACTCCACGTTGCGTAAGGATGATGGCATATCTCGGAGAGACTGAAGAGTGTTGTCGAGGTTGAGAACAGGACTGGCGATTACTGGAGGTGGCGATGTGGTTGCCTGTGTGGTAGAAGAGAAGGCCTTCAGAGGACTATTTGTCGTTGAAGAAGGCGGGGTGAACGCTAAGGACTCAACCGATAAGGATAGAGTCATGGTGTCGAGAGTCGGGTCAGTAGACTTGGTCAGCGAGTTAGGGCAGTGTGAAGTATGGTGCTGTTGTGAGCAGCGGTCACACCTTACCGAGTCCCGCTTGGGACAGACACCAGTACACTTGACAGAAGGCCTATTGCAGTAGGGACACCTACGTTCCTTCTTGAGAGGGGACGGCGCAGGGCAGAAGCTGGCACCAGCCTTGCAGTTAGGATCACCATCCATGCATCGGGTACACCGAAGCTTCGGCCGCTGACGCCGTTGACGATCGTGAGAACCCTTGCCATGACCATTGGAGCCCTGTGTAGGTTGCTGAGTAGACGATTGGTTGGTTGTCGTTGTAGACGTTGAGGTAGTCATCTGGTTGAGCGGTACCTTAGGGAGAGGGTCATCCTTGCGGCCTTGAGAAGGGTCAGATCTACCACGCTGCTGTGAAGATAGTTGACGAAGGCGGTCAAGTTCCACGAGCTCATGTAGAAGTTGACGGTAGGTTAAGGCCTTCATGCGCGTGAGAGCAGCTTCATGATGAGCGCCTCGGAGGCTGGCAGTCAGCTTGGACGCGAGGAACCGGTCCTCGAAAGGATAACCTTGCTGACGCTCGATGTCGAGGCGGATAGAGTCGAAGGCCTTCAAGAAGTCACCAAGTTGTTGGCGATCACCCATGTAAAGGCTGTTCCACTTGAAGAGCTTCCTGATGTAGTCCGTGTCACTGGATTTGTGTAACTGGGAGAGAAGCTGGCAGATACGCATGACCTCACGAGCACAAGCACTATGCGTCTGCTGAGGTAAAGGTCTGACCTCCCTGCTGACCGTCTCGTCCAAGAGTCTGGTTAGGAAGAAGTAGTACTCGAGAGCACCCCAACCATTAGAGCACGAGAGATGGTTGACAGACTTGATAACATCAGCCACTGCACGGTCGTCGTTGAAGCCGGTGAACTGTCGCTTGTTGGGTAGATCAGCAGAGTTGGCTTCACGCTTGGCGTAGTGGCGAGTGGTGCTGTCAATAGCATCATTGTTGCCAGAGAAGGGAGCGAACTGCGGGACCTCAAAGTTGACTCCATGAGTACCGAGGGCCGGAGGAGGCTGAGGGACCGGAGGTAGGAGTGGAAAACCAGCACCGTATCCGGTAGGGTAGCCGTAGTTCATAGCCATCGGAGCTGCAGAAGGTAGGACCGGGTTGACAGAAGGTAATACCACGTGATGGGGAGGAAGGCCTTCAGCGGAAGGGACGTGCTGGTATTGGTTAAGGCCCTCAAAGGCACCATATGTAACGGGATTGGTGCTGCCTGCTGGTAGAGAACCTTCGCTTACTGCGGGACCGTGGCCGATGCTAGCGTGAGAACCCTGAGGTATAACAGGCTGATGTGGATGTGGACCAGAAGCTACATAGGGTGGCGCGTGAGATGGCATCGGCGGATAAGGAAAGACTCCTCCAGATGAGGAGGACGTTGATGCTTCACCCGTAGCTTGAAAGGAATGCTGTTGAGGAGGAAGTGGCGGCTCCGTAGGATCAGCAATGTTGTTGATGAAGGCCTCCGAGATATCCTCGAGCTCCAGAGTAGTGGAACTTTGTAGAGCTTTGCCATGAGGGACAGTCGAAGAGGACATTCTCCACGTAGTCTTGAAGGCCTCATTGACCCAAGCACCGACGAAGGGCTTGTTGTCAATAGTGTGTAGATTCACAGTGTCTCCAAGCAGCTTGGAGGCGATGGAAGACTGGCCGAACTCGATGAGGATGTAGAAGGCCGACAGGTCATCATTCTTCTTGACGACATAGGAGGGGACCCAGGCATCCCTGTCGGGAAGCTTGATGAAGCGTAGACAAGGGATAGACATGATCCCGGTAAAAGAGATGTGCAGTTCTGAGTGGTTCTAGGCGAGGGACTCTGTGAGAGAGATAACCGCACAACTTAACTCAAGATCTCAGATGGGATAGATCTAGAGTGGCAGAGTAGAGAGCGATAGAGCGGTCCAGTGCGTGGAACGTAGACACGCTGAAGCAACTACCCAAGCTTAGTAGCTGATCTAATTCGCGAACCGCGACCGTTACTGAAATGGCGAAACGGTGAAACGGTTAGATACGATCTTGCTCACTTGAGTTTACTCAAAGGTACTGTCGTCACAGGACACTATTGTGAAGTTTCCATTTTTCGTGTTGCAATTATGCAGCAGGAAGGTCCGGCGGTCAGTGGCGTCCAACAGAATCCCGGAGGTCCCCATTCCGCAGCCATGCCGCCTCCCATGGGCAGTAAACACCTGTTCAAGTGGTGCTCTTTTCCTGTACTCGTCTCGTTGCAGGTCACCCTAGTCCGAACGGTAATCGTGGCGGGCCTATCTTGCCTTTCGAGTATGGCCCTGATGCTGGCCCGTATAGAGATCAGGTCGAAGTCTCCCAGGAGTTGGTACCGATGGTCATTGGGAAGCGAGGCGCTACCATCTCAGCTATGAAGCAGCAGACGGGAGCGAACATATACGTAATGACTGGGTCGGACATTGTAGGAATTTCTACTGATTCGACTTTTGTTTATTTTTACTTCCAAGCACATGAACGTCCCGAATCGTGGAGCAGCGACACGTTCGTACGAAAATGACAGTACTTGACCTGAGCGAGAATGAACGAGATTCGCCATAAGTATTGTGGGAACAATACGAGTGGGTGTAGCGACGGAATGATGTTGTTACCGCTGTGATAACTATGAAGTTCACCTTGAAATTACATGTGGTGAATGCTGGTCCCTTGCAGTGGTCAATACAGAGATCTGGAGGTCCAGAGTTCTGAGGATCTTTTCAAGGGAAGCAGAGAGGGTTCAAGTCAGTCGAGGGAGGATGGTGCTACTGAGGGGTGCGCAATTTCAGCGAAATGAAGCAAGCGGGCCTAGACTATTCCACGGGAGAATATCAGGGAGCGAAAGCGTCTAGGAATTGCTCATGGAGCGGTTGAAGTTACCAGTGCGTTGCGATACCATGAATTGAATGAGGGCGTAGTGGATGTGGTCGACGTCATGGGAAGAATGGCGTTGCGGGTCTTCAATGCGGAGTGCCTAGACTGGCAGGGCGCAGAATTTATTCCCGAGTTGATGCTTCATGGGAAATGAGCAGCGTTTCCTGCGAGGTCTTATGTGTTCTCATGTGCATAGGAAATGCCATAGCAACATCTTTCTCGGAATTTTTCGATTTCATTGATCCTTCATTTTTTCAGGGAGACCAGTCGACTCGTGAACAAGGTTATAGCATCTTCTTCGTTGATGCACAGACTGAGGAGCAGTTGCAGGTCAGCGAGCAACTGGGCGTGTGTAGTTGACCTCTTTTGTGTAGGCCGCAGTTGATGCCATTCGGGAGAAGGTATCCCCACTTGAGCCTAAGGAAGGCGAGATCCAAAAATTCTTTGAAATTCCGGACCACAAAGTCCCGGAGGTTCTCGGACCACAGGGAATCGCGTTGGCAAGGATCAAGGAGCGATCGGGAGCCCGACTTGAAATTAAGGTAAAATAGACGGAGCGAAGCGGTTTTATTTGAGCGAATTCACTCAAGGCCATCCTACCGACGGATTACCACGGCCCGGCTAAGAACATGCCAAGGACTGTCAACTGTGTTGGCACTGAGGAAGCTGTGAGCAAATGTGAGGAGCTCGTCAACAAGGTGAGCGCAAATTGCACAGTCAGCGGTGGAGGGCCCTTTTTGTCAGGTCGTATCGGGTACGGTTACTTGCGCGGACTTGATCTCTGAATACGAAGTTGGGCACCCAGAGGTCCGATCTCAGAAGAGACTCAGCTCGTCTCTATCCTATGACGATACCAAGCGTCGTAGAATGGACTATGGCGAGTACCAGGGAGGCTATGATAGCTCCTATAACGCTGGCTACCAGCGCGGTGGGGGGCCGCCAGGTGGTGGGTATGGCGGTCGCGGACCCATGAAGGGCGGGGGAAAGGGTGGCTGGAGCGAAAGCCCAGCTGACTCCTGCATGCTCGAAGTGAGAAGAGGGCATTCGGTCCGTCTTCAGTTTTGAGGAAGAGGCATTTTACGCTATTGGGTCTTACGGCGTGAATATTTGATCCAATGCTATTCACCAATTTGTGCAATCATAGAGAGTGGGCGTTCATAAGTGTTTCCATATCGTGGCTACTCGCTAGGATGAGGGGCATTGCTCTTCTCCTCATTACTGTACGCTGCTCAGGTCCCCTCTAGTGGCGTTGGAGCTATCATTGGTCGTGGTGGCGAGATTATCAACCAGTTGAAAGAGGACGGGCGCTGCGACATACAGATCTCCAAGAGCGGAGGTCCCTACCGAGAAGTGTCCATCCAGGGACCATATGATGGTATCTTGACTGTGGTTGGATTCATCAACGAGAGGCTGGCGGTAGGACGTGCTTGAGCTGAGATTTGTTATATCTATTTTTTAGGGTGCTCACACAGTGAAGTCGATGCCAGCCAATGGGCTCCCCCCTTATCTATTCGGTAGTGGAGGTGGCCCCAGTGGGTCTGGCATGGCCCCTCGTGGAGGTCCTCCCATGAGTGGTGGTCCTGGAAGAATGGGTGGTGGTCCGCGGCCTTACATGCAGCAAAGTTCTCCTCCTCCCCGTTCCTATGGTGGACCGCCACTGTCTGGCGGTGGTATGCAGGGTGGATCCCCGCAGGGCTATTCGACTCCTCCAGCTCCCCAGCCTTGGCAGCAGCAGCCTCAGGGCGGCGGGCCTGTAGGGGGCTATGGTGGTGGCAACAGTATGATGCCTCAGCAACAACCGCAGCCAGCGCCACACTCGGGAGGTGCGTCTGGCTGAGCTACTTATCCTTGGTATTCTGTCTGTCATAGGTCCGTCCGGTCCTGGTGGCTACTACTCGCAACAATACGGTGGAGGCTACCAACAGCATCAGGCCCCTGCTCAGCAGCCAGGCCAGGGATACATGCCTCCTCAGCAGACCGCCCCATCGCCGCAACAGTCGCCGTACCAGTACCAATCTCCTGTGCCAACGGGTGGCCCTTTACCTGCTGGGACTCCACAAGCTGCTGGGCCCTCGCAGTCAGCCCGTGCCCAAGGAGGATCAGGGGTAGAGTTCCACGTTGGCGCCGTCTTGGTCCTACCAGCGCTCGTTCGTTCAGGAAGCGTCGTCTGCTTATGCTAGTGCATATTTGGCCGCTGCGTGGCAGCAGTACTACGCATCTCTGCATAGGCAGCAAGCGGCGAGTCGACCTCCCCAGTGAGTACGGTCGGAAACGTCCAATGACAAGGCGCCGCGTAGAGAAGCGAACTAGACTTACAACCATATGATAGCGTTACAGTATTTACTACTTGTGTTGAGTTTCGAGTCCGGCTAGGATGAGTGACTATTCGACGTTATTCAAGTTGAAGCAGATCCAATGGCCGTCTCTGGCTCATCAAAGAACAAAAAGGCCCCAGGAGACGATGAGGAGGAAGTGCCCAAATTGAACGAAGATCTCGAGCAGGCGTTGGATAACGCAGATGAACTAGATGGTGATGCTATTGGGGTTTTGGGATACGCGGGAGCTCGTTGTGGAAGGCATTCATGGGTCGAAGTCGCCATCCACTCACATCTGGTCTGTCGCAGCCACTGAAGTCTCGTTTCGCTGCGTTCCTCGTAAAGCCCCTCGCTGAATGGTGTTAGTCTGTCTGAATGCTATCTCGTAGCGCGGGTGAACTCGACGGGTTTCAAACGCTGCGACTTACTCGAACTCCCGCCGTTCAGGTGATGAATCGACCTCCTCTTCATCGGATGAGGATTCGGATGCCGAGATGCTCACTGAGGATGTCGAGAAGAAGATTATGGATACTCTGAATCGCATCAAGAGCCACGACCCAACTCTCAAGGATAGCAAGGAGGCGGTGTTCAAGGATGATGACTTCGAGGTTGAAGGTAGTTAGGATAGTCTAATGGGGGAGCGTGTGAATGCAATGATGATGGTCGGTGGTTCGATCCTCGCGAGGGGCTTTTGTGAAATTACGCCTCCATTCTCAGGGGACGGGCAGAAGAAAAAGAAGTCTAAGAAATTAACTCACAAAGAGCTCATGAGGAAGCGGCTTCTCGAGGAGGGTGCCGAGGCCGCAGTGGAAGACGAGGACGAAGAGAAGCAGGTACGTGATCCATGCTCCATGAGCTTGTGCATGTCTATAACGTTGTGTGGCAGGTAGCTCAGACTTCCCGGCAGGCAGGGGAGGATGCTAGGAGGGCGCTGATGGACGCAATGGGTGTAGAGGAAGACGATGGGGAGAGCGCTGGGAACGATAGCGACGATGACTTGTTCACCGTTAGAGACAAGACTATGGAAGAGAAAGATGTTGAGGTGAGAACTCGAAACCTACCCAGGCGGTTCCTACGCTTTGAATAATTCTCGTTGAGCGTGGTTATTTTCCTTATAGGATCGCGAATATAAAAAGTGGGAGCGGGGCCAGCTGGCAAAGGCAGCAAACGAAGGGAATGAACAGATCCTGATGGAAAGGTAATAATGAGTTTTTAGCAAACAGCAGGCTGACATTCTTGCTAGATACTTCCGGGACTCGGACGAGATGGGCGATAATAAACTGGATGACGAGGATGCTTTCCTGAGGGACTACATTATGAACAAAGGTGGGGGAAATCGAGGCAGTTGACGGGATTGAGAATCGGTGTTGGAGTGTATGTTCGCTTTCTTCAGCTGAAATCAGGAGTTCCCTCACTAATTATAGAATTTCACACATGAATTCGGGTAGAAATGCACAGAAACTACTAATGAGAATTTCACAAAATTTGATCAGAATTTTCATATTGTCATCAATTCATGTAGTTGACTGAATGCACAGTTTCTCACGGGATCAGGCTGGCTGGAGAAGGAGTCTATGCAACCCAATGAGCGTGATTCGGACGATTCTGATGACGAGCTTGACCGCGAGGACGACTTTGAGCGGGAATATAACTTCAGGTGATTTTCAGACCAATTCGGGCCGATTCACTTTCAGCACTCATTTTCCTTTGTCAGGTTTGAGGAGGACAAGGGATCGAGTCTCGTCGGGCACAGTCGAACGGTAGTGTCGGGTTGAGTGTGTTTAGTAACGGCTCGGACATCGGGGTTCTCTCTTCGGATGCTAGGTGACTGATAGTGTACGTGTGAAAGACGATAAACGGAAGAGGAAGAGGCAGGAGAAGGAGGCGCGCAAGGCCGAGGAGAAAGCGAAACGAGCTGAGGAGTTGAAGCGACTGAAGAACATGAAGCGGCAGGAGATTCAACGACGACTCGAGGTCATCGCGAAGGTAGTATCTCTTCTGAGATACTCGAGCGTTTGGTCCGATACGTTTGGTCGGAATTTGGGTTCTTAGGTGACGGGAAGTTCCGCACCGAAACTCGCGGGGAGCGGGGAGGAGCTGCTTGATGCCGAGTGGGACCCCCAGGCACATGATCAGTTGATGCGGGAGACAGTGCTGGGTGACGGGTGAGCAACACTTCGTATCAACACTTCGGATCTTCGATCGCGGAGCGCGTGTTGAGGCAGATTTACCCACAGCGGCTGTCTTGGTTCAGATACGATGAACAGGAGGAGACAGAGGAAAGTGTTGAGGAGAAAAGTCCCGAGGAGAGCAACGAGAGCACTGCCGGCTTCGCTAATGATGAATCTACGCAATGGGGACAATGGGACGGGTTGGAGGCTCAGGACGAGGCCGAGCGAGAGGAGCAGGATGACGAGCATGAGTGGTGGTTGTGTGACGGCTGCCAGAAGCCCGTGCTGCCAGGGAAGAGGATTTTCCAATGCAAGGTGAGATCGCATCGTCCACCCGTAGTCGGTGTACGCTCGTGTGTTAGCAATGTGAGGATTATGTACTGTGTCAACCTTGTCATAAGAACACGACTCATCGTCACGCATTCGTCAAGTCTCGAGTGCCTGAAGGTTGCGAACCCCCAGAGGGCATCGAGCAGATGCTGAATAAAGAGAAGGAAGAGGAGTACGAGATGGACTTTGAGGATATGATCGGTATAAGGACACTCTCTCCCTACTGTGCGTTTTAAGTAGTCGCCGATCAGGTGATATGCCTACTCGGTTCAAGTACCGGAAAGTTGAAGCCGGTGCGGTTCACAATCTCAGCGTAGAGGACATTATCCACAAGTCCGACAAGGAGCTGAACCAGATCGCGTCACTAAAACTGTATGCCCCTTATCTCGACGAGGGCCCTCGAGAACCCAAACGAGAGGGCAGTGGTGGCCCTGTGAGTTCCGATCACCAAGGGAAAGGCGGGAAAGGTGGCAAGGGGAAGGGAGGCAAAGGAGGCAAAGGAAAGGGGAAAGGGAAAGGAGCTGCTATGGCGTCGAGGGCTGAAGCTTATGGAATATCGAAGAGGAAGATTCAGAAATCGACCAACGTCAAGAAGCGATAATCGTCCTTGCTTTACCAATACGTATACTTTCATAATCAACAGGTAATTGTGTTACCAATTCTCCGTTTGAGCGATGTAGTCAACAGCATATGAAAAATCTATCTTTTCGGAATATAAACGAGGCATGCCGGATGGCCAGGGAGATGAGCAAATCTACAACGCAGTGAAATCCCCAGGTTTTGGGCAGATGGAGATTTTACACCAGCGGTAGTTGTTTGGTGAAATGCTAACAACTCGGTGAGTACCCTATGATTGCTCTAGAAAAGATTGCAAGTGGTTCGGTAAGCGACTAGTGTCAGTGCAAGGGAAAAGTTTCAATTTCATTGCATTCGACTTGATGTTGCAGTTCAATGGCTAAGGTGTTGGGGTGTTGAAGCGGATTGACCACTCTTATTACGATGCGATCGGCAGCGGCCAAGGAGAGTCTGAGGGATTCGTCCAAGGCGTCGTTGTCACCGTCACGTAGCGCCACTATCGCACCGGCGCTGTCTTCGTCATCGGCCCTGACCCCCGACCAAGAGGCTGCAGTGCAGGAGGCGGTGATGAAGCAGCTTATGAACTACGGAGAGGGGATGGTCTCCAAGGAACATAGGGCGACGCTGGCAGAGTACGCAAAGGGGGTTTAGAGCTGACGTTAGTTGTTGCATGCGTTGGACATAGGTATGCAGCGTGTGTATTGCAGACGCAGACAACAGTGAGTGAGATGGTCAGCGAGATGGAGCAGTTCTTGCAGGAGAACGCGGAGGGTTTCGTGAGTTTTTGTCATTTTGAACTCGAACTACATGAACTACTGCAATCAGGTCGAATGGCTGATAGCATTCTGTGAGAATCACGGGCTGCCTCATCCCGAGAGGAAAGCTAAGAAAGTTACTCCGCGAGGTGAGGATTGACGCTCCCGGTTTCCGAATTTAGTAGTGATTGCCAAATCGAGCTGGAATGAGGTTGTCCGCGTTCTCCTATAGGGTATTGATAAGTTCTAACGATAGTGGCTCCGCTTGGTTTGTCGTTTGCCACATTCGAGCCATTTGCTGCCGAGCTAGGTTGGAGGAGGGCTCGTAATTTTGGCTGGATTCAGGTGGTGGTCTTTTCTCAAAGGCGTTGCGGGCAGCCACTGGCCAGCCGCCTGCGAGTTCGTCGGGTCTCGCGGTAACTAGCAACGATGCATCACCATCTGGGGGAGCGGCAGGACGTCAACCTGGCTCTGGGACGAAGCGGGGCGCGGAGGATAAGGGAGGTCCAGATGGGGCCAATAAGATTGCGTGAGTTTTTCACGTGGGTTCGGTCCGCGGCGACGGCATTCTCGAAGTTTAGTCGCCGAGAGATGAGAGCCATTGCGCGGCAAGCTGATGCAGTGAACTCAAAGAGAGCCTCCACTCTTCTGGCGTCGCAGGATGAGAACAGACATCCTGTCCGGTTACTCGGACGCAAAGAGCTGAACCAGAGGGCGGTCGCAACGGTGAGGAAATCGCTCGGTGAGGCTCCGACCGCCGGGTAGGTTCAAGTCGCGTCTCCGCCGTTTATGACTGTGCTCGTGATGTCAGACATTCGGGCGATCGAAGTGCCTCCGAAGGCGCTCTCGGTCCACTCATTCGGCCCGTCCCTCCCCCTGCCTATCAGCCGCCTCTCGGACGAGCTTCTCGTGTACAACCTGAGGGCCTCCCACCCACAAGGCAACAGAAAGGAGGAGGGTACTAATCTCGGTCGCCCTTTTTTTTCCGACATAAATGGTATTGCAGGTACGTAGCCCAAGTTCGGGACGGGGTTGAAATGGCCCCCCATCAGCCGTCTCCGCCGCCTGTACCACCACCAACACAACCGCAGGCCCGTCAGGCTCCCTTCGCCGCGCCGCCCATTACAACCCCACAACGTAGTCATGGGATGTCGTTTAGATAGGGAGCAGCGTGGTCGGTCAGGGAACGAGGATGGATACAAGTGGCGAGCTATTCGAGACGACGCTCTGGTCCGTGCTACTTGTGAGCCGGACTCAGCCCCTGTTGCATCCATCACCAATGGAGAGATTGTAGAACAATGCGGTCAACGAATAGTAAGAAATAGAGTAGCTAGGCAGTAGTTTTCACCTCGTCGTTTTTCTCTGAGTTTGTTGATACCAAGTTTTTCATGGAGTCGCTTTCTGGCTCGGAAAGGAGGGTCATCAGGTGCTTCAAAGCGGCATCATTCGCATACAAATTCGACATCCGTCACATCCAAGCTTCCCGGCGCCACTCGGTTGGGTTACTCTCACTGCGGAATCAGCTGGTGGTGTGCGGTACTTCGAGAAGGGTCCGGATAAGGTACATCGGATGTGGCGGTCTTGCTTTATTTCTATGGCGCGCGACGGAATTTCTCAGGTCCGATATAATGACTCTCAGACGTCCGCTGTGTACGGTGGTAAGGGTGGCAAAGGGAAAGGAAAGGGCAAAGGCAAAGGTGCGATGTCTTCCGGGTAACAGAGGGGAAATGTACTTCATTTTTTTTATTTTCTTGTACAGATATTACGCTGGCTCGTTTTCTCCATCGTGGGCTGGCGGATACTCTAGTGGGTATCATAAGCCGAGCTATATGACTCCAGGCTACTACTATGGTGGATATAAAGGCCGAGGAGGGAGGGGGGCGTTCAGCGGGGCTCCAGGGGGAGTTTCATTTGGCAATATCAAGTGGACCCCGCCGAGTGCGGAACCTGCCACTGAGGTAGGGGTCTCAATATGCAGAGTATGCAGAGATCTTTCGCTCGATTCAGGCCCAACGTTGAGGAGATCGCCGAGGTGACTGAGTGTTTTTGAGGGCCTCTCTCAGAGACTGGGCAACGTCTAGTATATTTTCCGATGATGATATCAGTGCTAAAATTTTGATTGCGGTATGGTCCACAATGTGGAGCTAAGTTTTCTGTTGTCTCTGCTCAACTACTGGCATTTCTGTGGTATTAGCGAGATAATATTAGACAAGACGAAGATCACATTTGGTAGAAATAACAAGAAGAAAGTCTCAGAAGGATTCTATCATACTTGTGTGCGACGTGTGGCTTTGAGTTCCAGTCGAGTGGGTCGGTGCCATTTCCGGATGATGAGGACTCCTCATTGGGGACACGCTCGGTAGCCCCAATATACCTTAAGCTTCGTTTAATACGTCAGGAGACAAAGTTGCGGACGACCCTGGTTCCTTCCGCCACGGATCGAGGGAGGATGAGAGAAGGTCCAAATCATCTGAACTAGAGCTCAGAAGATGTTCCGTCAAAATGATAACGATCGCTCTGTTCTGGAGGATCCTCAAGCGTCGCCGAGTACGGTTGCGTACGGCACGGCACGCATACACGCTCTGGCGAAGCTACGCTCTGTGTTGACTCGTTCATGTTGGGTTAACGAGTTACCCCAATTGGGGGACACCTTCAACTGTCCCAAGCCAGTCGGAAGTGAAAAAAACAAAAAAATGAAAATGATAACCCATTCTCGGCCTCGGGCTATTCGAGTTTCGGTCACACCGAGCTTCATATGATTGTGTCCACCCCTTTTCATCACGAAGTTTTCAGTGTTAGCACTCGCCTAGGCATTGACTGCTCAACATGATTATGGTAGAATCAGCATTCCAATCGATGAATCGTACGAGAAACTCACCGACGATAACGCAGCTCACACTAGACTCCTCGTACTGCATCACTGGACAACTCTAGACGCTGCTTCATACTGTCGTAGAGACTCTTGTACTTCTCCTCACTGCACTTCGGTACAGCATGACCTTCCTCGTGGATAAGGATTAAGTCCTCATCAATGATATCGTCACAAAACACCATCGACGCTTCATCTGCCCGGCTACTCCTCACCACCACCACATTGGAACTGTCCATTAGCCTTTTAGTCTGAGCCACCGCCGGGCTCACTGGACTGAATAGCACAGCTGTATTCACGAGGCCTTCGCATAACATCCAGTAAGCCATACCGCCGCCCTGCGAGAAGCCGACTACACCGGACGGCCGAACTCGTTGAACTTGCTCTCGCAGGAACTCTTGACTCGAAAGCAGACCTTCGGTGCCGATCCACCCAGTTTCATAGGATACATCCTCGCTGTCACCCTTCCACCACCACTCATAGCCGTCGAGAGCGCCCGTAGATCGTCCATAGCCTGGACCATGGGCTTCATGTGGAGCATTGATGAAGATGAGATCAATGCCGAGGAAATCTCCAAGTCCCGCAAGTTGTTGGGCAAACAAGTCGCTGTTTGTGCGAAATCCGTGTAGTGCAAGCCACTTGGGCCTGTGGCTACTCAATGGTCTACCCGGTGTAAGCTTCCCAGTAGCAATTTCGTTCAGCGGTAAGTGGCCGACGAGTTCGTTTCCCGTTAGACTCCGCAAGCTCGGCGCGAGTTTTCGGATCGTAGCCGATAGTTGTAAGCGCGCGAGAGAGTCGAATCCAAGCTCGTCAAGCGACTTGTTAGCGATCTCGTCATCCGAGATAGAGCCAAGGACGGAGGCGTTCCCCCTCTGCCGGACAGCTGAGATCAGAGTAGCCAGCCTATTGTTCGAGTCCGTTGAGGAAGACGCAGACGATACCTCACAACAGTTATGCCATATAGGGGATGCTGGCAACTCGGGCGCTCTCGACAGAGCAACATATATGGCACTGGTTGGTTTGAGATTCACCAGAGGCTTCAGCAAATCCACAGGTACCGTTCGAGCAGCACGTACAGTCACCGTAGGAGACTCAGCGATGAACTTCGAGTCGAGAGCAGTGACAACCAGCGCAGCACCAGTAACAGGATCTTCGTTACAACGTACATCCACTATGGGCGCAGGAGCCATGCCATTCAGTGTCGGCGCCTCCAACTCGACGACCACCTTCCCGATGTTCCTCCCACTGGTCAGTACCTAAGCATCTGAATGTCTCTTAACTATCACTATTGGAACTCACCTCAAGCGCGTTCTTCAGTTCTTGACCAGGGTAGATCGTTACCGGCATGGAGCCCTCGACATCCTGGGCGGCGGCTTCCTGCCACACCCGCTTCATCAGATCGGCCACCTCCGCTGGTTTGGCTGTCCGCATGAACTCATCCAGATGGCATGCACTATATGTCACACCTGAGGGAAGACATTAAGGACGCGCTGAGCACTGAGAGTGAATCTAAGCTTATTCGCAGTCCAGTCACCTCTGAGGAAATGGCTCAATGGAAGACTGCTAGTCTCGAGCATCTGCTCTTTTTTTGCGAGGTCAAGTATGAAACCGTTAGAAGCAACAACCTCGAAGGACCTGCCATAGACTCGCTAGTGACTACACTGGGGAGATGGAATCGGCAGAATGCGCAGACGCTTACCTCGACAGCTGATCGCCATCAAGAGCACCTATGATGACATATGGCCGCATGGTCTTACCAGCCATCATCGGAACATACCATGAAGATGCGTCACGGCTATCGAAGATCTCAGACACACCAAGCCCCTGAGAGAAAAGCAAGGAATAGAGGGGAAAGCGCGTGCAGAATGTCGAGTCGATCACTGGTCGGGTTATTCCCAACAGCCGCAGCCTACCTCCAACATTCGAACTTTTCTTTCGTCCTTCAGGTTACATGTGCCCATAATGTGATGACCGCGCCTCGAGAGAATGGCGATGCAAGACAGGCCAACACCGCGGCAGCGGAGTGTACGAGAACCGTCCGGCTGGGGCCTCGGTCGAGACCAGCGCGATAGTCAAGGGCTGAGGACAACGC